GCGCGCGAGACACGAGAACCTGTGAGCCATGGCCAAGTTCGCCATCAGCCGCCGAAGCGGGTGGCGCTGCTTGCGCAAGGAGTTGCTTCCAAGGCAGGCACTCGAGCCAGTCCCAAAGGCCCCCATCCTCGACTGCGAGCACAACAGCCGCTTTTTCGACAAGTTGGGCGACCATGCGGCACAGCGGCTTGCTTGCGCGCCATCCTCAGGTTGGCTGGCATCTTTCGCCATTGTGGCTCAAGTCGACGTGTGGCTGAGAGGCCTCATGGTTAATAATAAAGCCGTGGGCGGGGGCGGGCGCGGCCTGAGCTGGCGCCGAGTGTGGGTGGCCAGCGCCGCAAAAACCAGCAAAGGCCTGGGCAGCAAACGGGGACGCAGCAGCACAGGGAGGCGTTTCGGCCGCCGGGGTGAGGACCGCCCCCTTGCCAGTCGGTCTTGCCAGTCGGTCGGAATGGCCGCAGCTACGGGAGCAGGAGCAAGAGCGCATCTTCGTGCTCCGCATCCCCAGTTCCTGCGCGGCCTTCCCGGCCTCCCATTCGCATGCGCAAGCCGCTATCAACCTACAGCGCCCGACCTTTTTGGCAACCACAAATTAGCGGTTCCTTCTGGAAATCCCGCTCACGTTTTTCTTGGAGGCTGGCGTCCTGGCGGCCGGCAGTGGGCGCACGACGCCAGCGACAACTTCGCCCCAAGTGCAGGACGCCAGGCGGGAGAGGACAAGCTGGCGACCACCGCCGCCTTTCCTGCAAGCCGCAGAAAAGAAAGGGAATAGCCTTTCTTTAAGCAACGCAGGGGGCTGGTTAGCGGAACCTGGCAAGCTATCAGCCCAAGACCGCAACGCAGGCCTGGACCCGTCGGGCGCAAAGGAAGATGCGCGAGACGATTAAAGAGGGAGTGGCAGTGAAGTTTGCGGCAAAGCCAGGCATGGCAACAGGCGCTGCAACTGAGCAGCGACAAACTGCGTGGTGGCCGCGGCAGCAGGTCAAGGACCGGTCGGATAAGCAGCAGCTCGCCTGGGCATACAGCGCCGGTATGAAAGCGTTCAAGTCAAGCGTCCGACGCTGTTGTACTGAAAGCTTTGCACACGATGTCTCTGGCAAAGTGCCCACTCGTTCCAAACATGCAAAACTTTGGGCTGTTTGCCAGGCTGCATGCGCCTGTGCGAAGGGTTGGTTTCTGCATTTTTTTGGGGCAAGGCCGATCCCATGAAATTGGCTGCCACTGGGTCACACTCAGCCACGCCGCAAGGGCATTCACCCCCCAAGCATCGCAAGGTCGCCGATGGCATCCGTGTTAGTCGAGTCGAGTCGAGTTGAGTTGAAGCCCGAAAGAGGCCATTCAGGCACAAACAAAAAAAGACAAAGGCTACTCTGTACTCATTTTTTAGCACACCGTGAAAAATGGGGTGATGGCGTTTGTTGCGCACAAGTGTCGCCCACCCCGCCGGTCCTTACGCACAGCGCCGCCACGCTTCGCACTATTGCTTCTGACACGATGCCACAGCCAGGGGGCGCGGCGCCTACGGGCGAAAGACGGCAGGGCTTAGGAGCTGCGTGCCAGTTGTGCCGCTCCAACCCTTTCGAAGTGCGCTAGGGAGGAATGGGGCGTGCAGCACGACCAACTTCTGACGCACTTGTGCTAGCAACGCGGCTGCCTGTGTCCAACCGCTTGCCGGACACACCCACGGCCATGCAGTGCGCCCCCGGCAGACGCAGAATAACCCAGCGCTCCAATAGGCATATCTCCCACTCCGCTGTCGCCGGCTTGCAGCGGTGCCTGCCGGGGAGCCCGCCTTCATCGAACTTGCGATCCGAGACGTCCCCCATGCCGCTCCGCAATCATGCGGGGTCTTGTCCGTGGATGGCGTAGGAACCTACGACCACGTGAGTAGGCAGGCCATGCTCGAGGCACTCCGTGACGTGCCGGGTGCGTGCCGGTTGCTCCCTTACGTCCGCATGTGGTATGGGTCCCCGTCAACTTATGTGTGGCATGACAGTGTAGGCCAGCCCCACCCTGTGTTGCAAGCAGAAGGCGGGGAGCAAAGCGACCCGCTAATGCCGGCATCCGCCCGGAGGAGCGTTCCCTTGCCTTTTTGGATGACTTGCACTTGACAGCGCAGCCTGATCGCACACAACCGCTGTTTCAGGCTGCGCCCCGGTGCCTGTATGAACGTGCCCGCACTTCCCTTAATCACGCCGTGTGTGGCACGCAGCCGCAGTGGAGCCGCCAGGCCTGGCGGACATCAGTGCATCAGATGTGTGGCGTGGCAATGCTCAGCTCCCTTAGGCAGAGCAAGGGATTACCGTTCTAGGAGCCCCTTTGGGCGGAAATGCATTCGTGCGGGCCCAGCTCGACGCAGTGCGCAACAAACAACTTCGCCTCCTGCAGGTCCTCCCGACCCTTCCTGACCTGCAGGTCGCTTGGCTGCTCTTGCTGTACTGCGCGTCGCCACGGTCCAACTATGCACTTCGTATCATCCCCCCAGAACTCACCGATCTTTTTGCCATTGAGCACGATGCTGCAGTGCAGAGATGTTTCAATGCAATGCTGTTTGGTGGGGACGGGGTGGCGCTCCCGGACACGGCCAGTCGGCAGTCCCAACTTGCCTTCCGCCATGGTGGACTAGGGCTGCGTTCAGCCCGGTTGCATGCACCCGCGGCGTTTTGGGCCTCGTGGGCTGAAAGCTTGTCGGCGATCCAGCGCAGAGATCCCGACCTCGCGCAACATATTGTGCCAACTTGAGCCGGATGTGCCTTGTTGCCGTGTCCTGGGCACGCTCAAGGCAACCGTGACCCTGCTCGCTCGTCAGGGGTTTGAGGCCCCTCAGTGGCACCAACTCCTTGGCGACGATGCGCCGCAACCACATGATGTTGAGGACGATGCCCCTGGCATTGGGCGGGGGTGGCAGAAAGCAGCGTCGGCAGCTCTTGACTTGCAAAGAGCGGCTGCCCACAGCGACAACTTGGATGCAGCCTCTGCAGCCATGCTGCTGTCCCAGTCCGGACCGTGCTCAGCCCAGGTCTTCTTGATGCTCCCCGTTTGCCCGGAGTTGATTGGAGCCCGCGCATTTCCGTGTGTTGCTGTTGCGACGCCTGCGCTTGCCTTTGCCTTTCGTCCCTGCGCGATGCCGGTGTGGAAGGGAGCAGGACACTCTTGGCGATCACCGCTCTGCATGTCCGCGATCCGGTGTCTTGCGAGCACGGGGCGGCCCACTTGAACGGGCGGCAGCACGCATTTGTCGTGAAGCAGGGGCCGTGGTCAATGTCGGCAGCGTGCCCGGAGATGACCGGCGGATTGAAGTCATAGCCAATGGCTTACCCTTGTGGGGTGGCATGCAACTTGCTGTGGATACCACGCTGGTGTCGGCCTTGTCCTCTACAGGTGCCCCGCGGCGCTACCAGAGCCGAGCCGAGGGTGCAGCCCTGCGCCAAGCCCGACGGGCCAAGGAGCGCACATACCCGGAACTCCTTCGCCCTGACTCGCGCTGCAGGCTGGTGGTCCTTGCGCTTGAGGTTGGCGGGCGCGGAAACCGTGGACTTCGTGCAGCGGCTGGCGCGGGCGCGTGCGAGAAGTGTGCCGCCTCGTGTGCGCGGCGCCGTGTCGGCTGCCTTTGCCCGGCGCTGGTCCTCCTTCTTGGCCGCGGGCGCGAGCCGGGCGTACGCTGCCAGCCTCTTGGCCTTGCCCGCCCACTCGGCCGCAGGTGTCGATGGGCCGCCGCCCTTGGTCAGTGACGTGCTTGCTGACGGCGGGGAGCCGTTTGCCGGGCGCAGCCGCGTCCGGTGAAGGGTGCCCGCCTGCACGTGAGGAGCTGGCCTCAGTAAAAACAGCGGCCAAGACCTCCCGTGCCCGGAGGCGCCCCTTAAAATCCGCCCTGAAACACGTTGAGGCCACTGCGGAAAAAGGCGCGCGCGCGAAAAAACAAATCGACTGGGAAGCGCCCACACAGCTGCGCGAGCGGGCTTGCGCTCGGATCCGGCAAGGCAACATGTCCCGCGCGAGAAGGATGCTCATGTCCGCCGCGCTGGTCCCCAAAGACGAGGCTACTCTAGCTGCCTTGTCCGATCCGGCCGGCAGCCACTTCCGCCGCCGCCTTCGGCGCTATCCGATCGGAGTGTCGACGGCCTTGCAGAAGCCACATGGTGGAGTGCGGGGCATCGCCACAGCGACACCTTGCGACCCCTCGCCCGGCCGCGCCTGAGATTGTTTTTGCTGCCCTGCGGAGTGTATGTCCACCGGCGGTCTTGTTGTGCGCACCTCCTTGCTTTTTTTGGGCTGAGCGTGTTTAATGGGCCCGAACGCAAAATTCGTTCAGTGCCGCCCGATGGCGCACGAGCACCCCACTCCGGCAGCTGACGGCGAACCTGTCTCCGGGATGGCGTTTCCCGGCAGTAAAAGACCCTCGCGCACGACGCGCGCCTAGGGTTAGCAAGCCGCTGCGCGGGCAGGCGGCGGTGTCGGTGTCTCATGTCGAGAGCAGCCCCGCACCGGGGTTTTCCCCACAGCGGGGGATGTCTTCTCAGGGGCACCCACCATACAGACCCAACCGGAGGCTTGCAACATGGTTACCACTGTGCTCCGCAGGTAAACCATAGTTTTGTGTGGCCCACAAAGACTTTCGGCAGTGGAGGCAGCTCGGCAGCCAACAGCGCGATCAAAACTGACAAACTTCAAATGGAAATAGCGATGCCAACCGCATGCCTTGCAATATTTGATTTCTTTGACGGAGGCAAGCAGCTTTTTCTGCAACACACGATGGGTTGAACAAGCAAACCGGTAGGTAGAATAGAGGCAGGAACTATGTCAGAAACGTTGACAGGCAACACTTATATAACTTGCGCAAGCAGATGTGGACAGCTACAAGTAGTGATGAAAAATCAGGTGGGCATGAGAACAGATGTTTTGTTTTTTTGGAAAAATAAGCAAGACCGACAATTTGTGACAAGCAAGGCAAGTCATCGGTCTTCTGCGCATGGTGCTATGATGGTCTGGGCTCAAAAACAAAGGGATCTAGGCGTTTAGGTGGTAGACTGGCACCGCCCTCAGTACAAAAGAGCTCACATTTATGCGGGTGTGTGCGCAAGCAAGCGTGTGTTTGTTCCCTTGACGCACGCACCGCCAGGCAAATTCAACTTCATGGCGCTTGGGTGTTTACGATGTGAGTGGTGAGGCCAGGGCTACTTGAGTTGGTCGCCTCTTGTGGTTTAGCATGGGAAATTGACTTTGGCCTGCACCAGTTAACGCTAAGGCGTTCATAAATTCATACCCGCATGTTGGACATCCCTCACGTTCCTGTCGCCCCCATTGTTTTGTAGCAACACGTTGACCAAATCGTTGCATGACATAGCAACAAACAAATCGGTTTTCTCACGATTGTTTTGCCAGGACGGAAAAGGGCTCGCGGAGAAACACCAAAAAACATAAACAACAAAAACCAAGGGGGCTTCATCCATGCCCGAATTGGCGGTGTGGTTACTCACCGGTTGCCTGCGTCAGGCTTTTTGCGCTACGCGCATGTGGGTCGTTGGCTTAGCACAAGCCGCAATTTGGTGGGCAAAACCAATCGCGGCTTAGGGCAGCGAACTGGGCACATGTTGACCTGGCGTCTGTTTCCAGGCGTGTGATGATGTCACCTTTAGGCATGTTCGTTTTGGAGACAAAACAGCAAGACGAACCGACAATGTGGACAGGCTCCGTTTGAGCGGTTGATTAGTTTTGGGTGGGATCCACGAGGTTGCCTTCCGGGCCGTCTTGGCTGTTTGCATTGCAGGCGGGGCCATGTGCACAGTGCTTGATGGGAAAAGTGGCCAGCTTGCAAAACCCAGAGGTACTGTGAACTTTGAAGCCATGTGAAACCATTGCTTGCTGGTGTTGTGTCATCAGCGGGATTTTGAGGGGCGACGCCACCCACGTCCATCCACAGTACACATGAGATGCAATTTGCGAACTGTGACGTTTTGACGGCCATTTCAAAAGGTCACTTGCTGTATGCATGTCTGTGTCTCTGAGTCTCTGTGTCTCTGTGTCTCTGTGTCTTTGTGTCTCTGTGTCTCTGTGTCTCTGTGTCTGTGTGTCCTGTGTGTCTGTGTGTCTGTGTGTCTGTGTGTCTGCGTGTCTGCGTGTGTGTCTGTGTATCTGCGCGTTTGCGTATCTGACCGTCTGCGCGTCTGCGCGTCTCTGCGTCTCTGCGTCTTTGCGTCTCTCCGTCTCTGCGTCTCTGCGTCTCTGCGTCTCTCCGTCTCTCCGTCTCTGCGTCTCTGCGTCTCTGCGTCTCTGCGTCTCTGCGTCTCTGCGTCTCTGCGTCTCTGCGTCTCCGTGTCTCCGCGTCTCCGCGTCTCCGCGTCTCCGCGTCTCCGCGTCTCCGCGTCTCCGCGTCTCCGCGTCTCCGCGTCTCCGCGTCTCCGCGTCTCCGCGTCTCTGTGTCTCCGCGTCTCCGCGTCTCCGCGTCTCCGCGTCTCCGCGTCTCTGCGTCTCCGCGTCTCCGCGTCTCCGCGTCTCCGCGTCTCCGCGTCTTTGGGCCTCTGCGCCTCTGCGGCTGCGGCTGCGTCTGCGTCTCCTCCGTCTCCGTCTCTGTTTCCGTCTCCGTCTCCGTGTCTTTGTTTCCGTCTGCGTCTGCGTCTGTGTTCTTTTCTGGACCCTGCCCCCATTGACAGTCACCAACTTCCATAGTCGGAAAGATAGCCTTCGAAATTTTCCAGGAGCCGCCAACTCATCTTAAAAGTGGCGCGCAGCTCTAAATTCACACAGGTGCGGTGCGGCCAGCCAACGAGGAGGCGGCGCGAGGCCGGAAAAGCGGCGTTCAGGCTTCCCTTTCAGGCTTCCCGTCTTATTGGCAGGTGCGTGTGTGGTCCTAGGCTGTTGTATTTTCAGGTCCTTGTTGGATGGATAGCCAGCCTGCAATTTGAGGAACGCACGGGGGGGGGGGGGTAGAACCGACTTGCATTTGGAGGTGTTATTTTTTTTCTTCCGCTTTTGGCTTCTTGGCTTCTTGGCTTCTTGGCTTCTTGGCTTCTTGGCTTCTTGGCTTTTTGGCTTCTTGTTGGTTTACGCGGCTTTTGTGGCTTTTTGGCTTTGGCTTTTTGCATCCTCTGCTTTCCCAGTTCCTCGCCGATTCATTGGCATCACCAGTCCCTCCCTATTTGAATCATCACTTCTTCGAACATCATCGGGGGCTGCCGCCTCCCCCCAACCCCCGCCACTTTTTAGATTTCTTGCAGAGATTTAATTGCACCCTTAGTTGGGTCATCACTTTTTCGAGCATCCAATTTCGCGAGAAAATGCTGTAAAACACGACATTTTATGTAATCTATGCAATCTATGTGATGTATGTTTGTATGTATGCACTTCGAAATCATAGCAGAAGCCACCCCCGCCAACCCTCTCGCTGCTTTTTATATTCTATCGCACCCTTTCTTGAATCATTGCTCCCCTATTTGAATCATCACTTCTTCGACCATCATGGGGGGGGCTGCCGCCCCCCCAACCCCCCTCCTACTTTCCAGATTTTCTACAGAGATTTAATTGCACCCCTAGTTGAATCATCGCTTCCTCGAACATCATGGGTGGGGCTGCCGCCCCCCCCAACCCCCCGCTGTTTTTTTTTAAGGCTTTTTGCAGAGATTTATTTGCACCCCCCCCTAACACCTTGCTACTTTTTAGATTTGCTTTGCAGCGAGTGAAATGCCCTCCTACTTGAATCATCATTTTTTTGACCTCGTCAACCCGCCAGCTTCTTTTTGGATTTTGTTATCCACAATTTGTTGGTGATGCTAGGGATGTTGGTCGGACATGCGGGGGATGTTGAAAACGCGTGTAAAATACGTCAATTTTGCGAGAAAATGCTGTAAAATACGACACTTTTCTGGCCCGGACGGCAAAAACAATTCCCAAAATAAAATGAACAAATCCAAAAATAAACCCGCACCCCTTCCATTTTCCTTTCGAGACTTGGTGTTGTGGAGCCAGCACGCCTCATCGCAGCAGCCCGCCAGGCGCAGCAGAAGGCCTCCTCATAGCTCACGCACCTGACCCGCGGCTAAGCTGATTCATCCTGATGATACATGTATTAGCAGAATCCGGGAATTGAGAAGGGTGAGCTGTTCAGCACGCAGTCATTGTAAGGTTGCCCCGGCCCAATCCGTCATGGAAGTCGTGTTTTGGACGGGCCTTTGTAGCGGAACTCATGTTTGTGCTGCCATGTTTGTCTGTTCATTGCTTGATTTGATGAACAAGTCCTATGAAGAAACCGGCGCATTACTGGCCTCCAAAGCAAAGCGCAAGGTCATCCAGACACAGTATTTTGTGCCTAGGGGATGCGCAGCCATATGTCCAGTTGAACTCAGAGAAGTGCACATGTCTATTTTTCCTCTTCCGGGGGCAATGGCACGGATGTGGTGCATGTTCCCCAGGGGCGCTTTGTGATTTCGACCTGAGATCAGCCCAGGTCGAAGTCAGAACCCGAAGGGTTCTGGCCGCAGAGAAAGCAGGAAGTGAAGACCGTGGCGCCTCGCCCGGTGACCGGCCGAAAGGTTCAAGCAGAACTTGTGGTTCCATGGAAAAGCTGCTCGGGATAGTGGTTTAAGCATGTTCAAACAAGTCGTTGGGCTATCTCCTGGGTCAACACGGAAGCATGGGGCCACTTCGATGGTGAATGGTTTGTTTTTGAGAACCAGGCATATGTTTGCATAGGCACTTATCCAGGTGCAAATGCACAGAATCGATAGCTGAATGGATAAAAACAAAAGATGGATGAAGGAATTGATAGTTAGACGCATCTTTCTCTATATCTACTCATATGTATTGTTCTAGGGGTACCTTCCCCATTCTTTCCAGGGATCCTTCTTTCTAGAAGACCTCCGGAAACCCAGAATCAAACCCTAGAATTGGAATCAAACCCTAGAATTGTCGTCAGCTCCCAGTGTCCGTTTGCGTGTTCTGTGAGGCCAGGTTCTGGGCCTTGCTGGGCATCTTGGGGCTCACAGGCGTGCGCGCGCTGGGCGCGCTCGTGGCTGGCCAGGTAGCTACTAAACAGGCGCCATTTAAAAGAAGGGCACTAGAAAACTCTGAATCTTTTGAGGTCTCTTTTTTGAGGGCGGTTTGTTTTTTTTTTGGGGGGGGGCGGGGGCCGGGTGAGTGTTTAGATGGAAAACACCGCACATTTGGTTCTCCTTCTGAAAGACACCCATTAAAACTGATCTAGTTTTGTCATGACTCGGGAAAAAACACACATAGTATCATGGACCTCGAAGCCAGGGGGTGGGGGCAAGGGGAAAGCAGGGCTCACCTGCCAGTCCATGCGTCCCTTTGGAGGTGCATCCCAACCCTACTCCTCATTTTCCACAAATGGACCACACTAATGGAATCCCCATCCTCAGTTTCTTTGGGTTCCCCGCCCCCCACAATTTCACAGGCTATGGCGCCTCCTTCTTGAAGAACGAGCGGTCGCCCGACTTGAGCCGGTACTTGAAGCTGGCGTGGGCCTTGTGTGAGGAAGTGCCGGTCGTTTTCAAAAGTAGAGGGTGGATCCATGGGGGGCCCATAGAAGGTTTTGGCGTGACAAGGAAGGGAGAAGCCACCACTTTCAAAAGGGTGCAAGCATTTCATAGAACTTTGAAACATTTTAACATGGTGGGTTTGTCCATCATGTTCGTGAAGGCCCAACATGTTCCAACTTTGGAGTGAACTCATGTCAGAACAACAGGCTCAGACTGGTGACTTTTCCCCCTTGCGGACGCTTCACCGCCGGCAGCCGTGCTTCGGTTTTTTTAAGGCCGCCTTGAAGCTCCAGAAGGCGGGCTTTCGTTCGGTTGAGCTGGCCCGAAGCGGCCCGCCGAAGCGGCTCCTTGTTTTTCAGGGATCTTTTTGAACGTGGAATCAGGTATTAAGTTTTTTTCTCTTTTTTTGTGAGTTTCCTGGTGGAGCTTCACATGTGAGTTGTGCACTCAGGGATTTTTTTGAGCATGCGCCACATTTGGCGCGGAAGGCAGGGACCGTTTGGGAAGATCCCTGTCCTCTTTGCTGAAACCGAACGGAAAGGTAGCTAGCCAGCTACGTCTCCAAAAAGCAACCCAAGCCAGCAATTGCTGATAGGGTGCTGCCTCGCAACCTACAGAAGGAAGCTGGGAAGCACATATTGTCGTGGTTTTGGCGCAACGCGAGGAGAAGATACTCTGGCAGCTGAGCCTTTTATGCAAGGATCTTGCAACTTCGCGAGGCAGGAGGAAAAGTCATGGTGATTATTTTTCTCCGGGGGGCCTTTGGGCAGGTCAGTTTCTGTGGTCTTGGGCATGCCAGTGAGTCTGCATTCCTTTTGCAGGTTCTGGGTGCCCTCCCATTTGGGAATTCTGCCCATTCCGCAACACACCTGTGAAGCGATGTACTGAAATGCCACTGCCACGCCAAGGATTTGCGCGGCATCCTTGCTACTCGGAAGCGGGCACGAAGTGGTGAGGGAAGCTGCGCCAGTCAAGTGAGGTTTTGGCAAACTTCTCCAGCCTACGGTCCATTTGAAAGACACGTTGGTAGACTCAATCAATTTACTACGCAAACCGGGGGACTCACATTTTGTTCATGTTTGGACCTTCAGTTGGGTCTTAGGGATTAGGCTTTTGCCGGGCCACAGTTTATGGGATAACCCGTCCTAGATCTTGTTTTGCCCAGAACCACTACAACCTGAAGAGATTGCGGGGGCCTGTCTCATCCCTTGGATGGCCTTCAAGACTGCAGAATGCCGATCCACTTGGAGAGGTGCATAAGGTTGAACAAGAATTGGGTTGTCAACATCCTGGTGCGCAGAAGGGGGCCATACACTTGAAGCCTACAAGGGCCCGGCCCAACTCCACTTCTGACAGCTCCCATTTCCCATGGCCCCCCACCTCTTCCCCTCCAGGGAAAGTTCCGGGCTTCAGACGGGAGAGGAAGGTTGCATTGAGGTTCGGACTGGCCGACTTGCTGGCACAGCGCGTGCCCTCGTACCATGAGAAGTCCAACCTGAACGATGCCCGGCTGGAGAATTTCGACGGTAGAACGGTAGAAGTCAGAAGCATTTGAGAGTCGGCATGTTTCTGCCAGGGCTTATCCATTTGTGCCGGTTTTGGGCTTTCTCCAACTTCTTTCTGTGTCTCTTGAGGTTTTTAGCGCGAGGTCTTCCTTTTGAGCTCGGGGTTTGCCCTTCAGTCCAGGGCATTCTTGGTCTGGGTTTCGGAGGCCTGGAGGCCACAAGAAGCCGTGCCAAAAAGGGGGTTTGTACCTCCAAAAGCCCGCTTGTACCGGTGGTGTGGTCTTATATCAAGCATCAAAACCTCACACCTGAAAACGTAGCTACTGGTTTTATGTCAAGCATCGACACCTCACACCTGAAAACGTAGCTATTGATTTTATGTCAAGCATCGACACCTCACACCTAAAAACGTAGCTACTGGTTTTATGTCAAGCATCGACACCTCACACCTGAAAACGTAGCTATTGATTTTATGTCAAGCATCGACACCTCACACCTGAAAACGTAGCTATTCATTTTTATGTCAAGCATCGACACCTCACACCTGAAAACGTAGCTGTTGATTTTAGGCCAAGCATTGACACCTCACACCTGAAAACGTAGCTACTGGTTTTGTGTCAAGCATCGACACCCCACCCCTGAAAACGTGTCCAGCATCGATAGACACCTCACACCTGAAAACGTAGCTACTGGTTTTGTGTCAAGCATCGGCACCTCACACCTGAAAACGTAGCTATTGATTTTATGTCAAGCATCGACACCCCACCCCTGAAACCGTAGCTACTGGTTTTGTGTCAAGCAGCGACACCCCACACCTGAAAACGTCGCTGGCGCTTTTATGTCAAGCATCGACACCCCACCCCTGAAAACGTCACTGGCGCTTTTATATCAAGCAGCGACACCCCACCCCTGAAAACGTCGCTGGTGCTTTTATATCAAGCATCGACACTCCACCCCTGCTGGTGCTTTTATATCAAGCATCGACACTCCACCCCTGAAAGCGTCACCCCACCCCTGAAAACGTCGCTGGTGCTTTTATATCAAGCATCGACACCCCACCCCTGAAAACGTCGCTGGTGCTTTTATATCAAGCATCGACACTCCACCCCTGAAAGCGTCGCTGGTGCTTTTTTATATGAAGCATCGACACCCCACCCCTGAAAACGTCACTGGTGCTTTTATATCAAGCATCGACACCCCACCCCTGAAAACTTCGCTGGTGCTTTTATATCAAGCATCGACCTCTGGAGAAAAAATGGTCGCTGGAGGACGGCTACAAGCTGGGCGGTTGGGACTGGCGCTACACCGCCACCGTGGTGATTTGCGCCTGCCTCTTCCAGGCGGCTGCTTCGGTCCCGAGGGCTCGAGGGCTCGTCTCGTGGCTTTGGGGTCAGATGCTTCTGGGCGAAGAAGACTCCCAAGAGCGATGCAGCGGCAAAGCCTTGGGTACAGGTCAAAGGTCAAGATGACCAACCCAGAGCAGAGACAGAGAGGGGGTCCCTCCATTTCCAGCTTTTGGGCCTTCAAGAGTGGCAGGGTTTGTTGGGATTGGTTGCCACGGGAATTTTTAGTGACCCTCTTAGTTTCCCCTGGGTTCCCCCTTGTCTTTTGGTTTCGCGGTTTCGGAAAGTGCTTTGCCTTCGAGCCAAGCGTCCGGGAGAAGCTGTTTGAGGGTTAGGGTTTGGGCTGCCCCAAGCTTGAATAGGATGTGGCTCAAAATTTGTACGCCAGGTTTAGTCTTTGGTTCCATTTGCCAAGGTGCCGTTTTAGTACATGTTTTTGAGTCAGCTTGTGGTTTTGGACGCAAGCGAAATGTTAGCCCTGTTGCCCAAAAGGGTGGTTGATGCAATGCATTGTACCGCTAGAAGCTGGAAAGAAAAGTCAGACACTTCTTCACTGGCTTTCTCACAAACTAGCCCGTCAATGCTCCCCCAAAGGGGTGGAGCCACAAACGGATTCATCCAATTCGTGTTCATCGATGGATTCCAATGGCTTTGTTATTTGTTTTGTTGAAATGAAAACGGACGCCTCCGGCTTTTGGCCACGGGGCCAGGTTGCGGCTTTGGGCTACTTTTACGACTATTGCGACTCGGCAGCTTGCGCGTCTTTGCGCTTGCTCGGTCGGGGCGGCGAGCGCGCGAGCGCGGCGGGACACGGCGTTTTTTGCTCTCCGTCAGGTAACTCCAAAATTGGTGGTTTGGCTTGGTTGCTTGGATTTGGATTTGCACCTTCCGGTTCTTGTAGAGGGTAGATGGGAAACCACCCCGAACCCCCCCTCAGCCACCAAGCTGCCGATTCGGCTCTGGCTCCAAACCACCCGCACGTCCTCCCAGCCGAGGTGACGCGCGCTTCGGCCAGGCTGGCACTTGGCAAGCTGTGGCTCGGCCGGCGGTTTCGAGGGGCAGTCGGGTCTTGAGAAGTGGATATTCGGGACCCTTGGCAGCTTCCCTCATCGGAAGAGGGGCAGACAAGTTGTTCTACCTGGGCCAACGCCTGGAATGGGACACTGAGAAAAAGAGCTGTTCGAAAAGAAGCCAAAAGGAGAGGAGGTTGGACGAAATGAAACATTGGGTTTGTGTTGTTTTGATGGGTTAATTTTGACACATACCATGGCCACAGACCACCTGTTTCAACAACCTCTTCAACAGGGGGTCAGGGTCTGGATGATCAAGCAGACTTGATCAACCAGGGTTGGTTGCAAGATTGGTCTAAACAAACCACACCTGGTCCTCGTTAAAGGGAAGCCACAAAACAATGGGTCAACCAGGGATACTCATGAAGTTTCCTGGGTTCATGATTGCCAGTTCGTGATGTCTGGCAATGTGCCAGAGGTATCAACGAAAAAGGAGTGTCCAGGGCAAATGAAATCCTTCCCAACTTGTGCAAGCTGTCTTTGGATGAGTTCTTAGGGTTTTTGGCGTTTTTGATCGAGGGGCCTTCAATAGGCAGGCACCATGGCAACTCATAGCATCCCAAGCGAAAGTTGCGATGTAAGTTTCTGCTCTTCTCAGCGCAGCATCAGGTTGCGGTGAAGATGCTGAAGATGCAGGTCGCCTTTGTCTTGGGCTATTTGCCCCTGGCCGTCTTCTTCTTCGTCCCTCGGATCCGGGTAAGGGATTCGACTAGCCGGGTCAGAGACGGGCTTTCCTTCAAACCCATCTGCCAGACAGGGTTTAGATTTAGATGGGAGGCCTTGTGCGGATCAACGTTTCATTCAGGGGAGGAATTCCGGATCAATGTCCGAGGGTAGGAGCAACCCTTAGGATCAATGCGGAAGCTTGAAAGCAAGATCGTGGTGGCACCTGCAAAACAATGTCCTATGCCAAAGCTTGCGAGAGAGAGAGAGAGAGAGAGAGAGGGAGAGAGAGAAAGAGAGAGAGAGAGAGAGAGAGAGGGAAAGAGAGAGAGAGAGAGAGAGAGAAAGAGAGAGAGACAGAGACAGAGAGAGAGAGAGAGAGAGAGAGAGAGAGAGAGAGGGAGAGAGAGAGAGAGAGAGAGAGAGAGAGAGAGAGAGAGAGAGAGAAGAGAGAGAGAGAGAGAGAGAGAGAGAGCGAGAGAGGGAGGGAGGGAGGGAGGGAGAGAGAGAGAGAGAGAGAAAACAAAAAGAGAGAGAGAGAGAGAGAGAGAGAGAGAGAGAGAGAGAGAGAGAGCGACATTCCTGCTGTCCGCTTCGTTTTTTTCCCCCCCGAAGGACAGCTTGGTGCAGCTCAGAATCTGAGGCCTTGTTGGTGTGCTTCATCTTCCGCAGCTTCGCGGATTCCACGGACAACTGCGGGCCCTCCGCCCTGGTGGGCTCGCCCTGGAACCTGGGGACCGACGGGTGGGCGCATGGCCTTTGGCCTTTGGTCCGCGCCAGCCGCGCTCTTTCAACATGAAGCCCCATAAGGGGGCCGCCTGTTTGTTTCTTTTCTTGGGGGGGAGGGAGGGCTCCTTGCAGGGGAGGGCTCCTTGCAGGGGAGGAAGTGGTCAGTGAACCCAGTGAGTGCGTTCCAGAAGTGGGTTGTAGGATCGAGGAGCAAGGGGAACTTGCTTGGTTTGTGAAACACTTGCTACTTGGGTAATTGACAATTTTGGGGGCCATAGTCCCCAGAAGACACAGCCCCGCCAAAAAGCTGAAGCACAAGAGATCTGCAGCTTCTCTGATTGGTGCTTTGGGCTACTTTATTGATCATTCTTTCCCTTAAGGGAAAATGATCTTTCTTTTGAGCTCTTGGGAGGGGGGTGTTGCTTTTCTGGGTGCCCTCTGATCAGTTGAGCGTGGCGAACCAAGGGCCGGGCTTCTCCCATGGTCCAAATCGGTTCACGAAATTGACCTCAAAACTAGCCTCCAGATGGTGGTCCAAAGAGGTTTGCCCACCCCAAAAGCAAGAGCTCTCAGCCCAAAAGCAAACCAAAGACTGGAGGGGGCTTTCAGACACTCCTGCGAATGGACGCCTGGGGCCCGGGGCCCGCCTTGGGCTCGGAACTCGGCACTTGGGACGGCCCCCCCCCCCTGGTCCGCGTAGGAGCAGCTTCGGCGCCGCGGCGGTGCTTTGGCCAGGCGGAGACCTGGAGCCTTCCGAAAATCCGCGGCTGCCTTCGGTGAAGTTTCGGCCGCGTTTCAACTAATAACAAGCCCCAAAAATCCAATGGATTTGATGAATCCTAGGTCCCCAGCAATTGGTGCCAACTTTTGTCGTTGCTTTTTTGGTTGGGAGGGTTCGGGACCCTACTAAAATAGACTACAGGAACAAAAAAGGGTGCCCTGATTCCAGCCTCTCTCTACTGGAGGACTTAGTCAAGTTGGTGGCCAGCCCATGAGTTTCTCATTCATTTCCCAAAGGGACGACGGCTCTGATCTCGTTTTTTTCCCTGTCGAGCTTTGGGTGGATTCATTTCGAAGGTTAGTCCTGATCAGGGGAATAGTTGATTTCTTCTAAGATTGTTCAACAAGCCAACATTTCCTCAGCATCAACCATTTCAGTTGCTTTCCATTCAGCGCCTTTGTCACGTGTCTTGTTTCTCCGACTCGTTTTTTGTGGCTGGGGGGGGGGTTTGGGGCCGAGCTGTTCGTCGTTGGCAAGGATCGAGTTTGTTCGCCGGATCTGTTGGTTGAGTGGTTGAGTATCCAGCAGTTTTCATTGCTAGATCGCAGTCCATCATCCTACATTGAGAGTTCAGCTCTGGCGCTGTCATGAACGTGGGCACTACGTAGGTCTGGTTTGCGTTTGTTTGGCCAAGTCATTGAATGCTCCGCCTCTCGCAGTCATTGACGCAGGGCCGTCCCGGCAGGCGACTATTTGCACTCGATGATCTTTTGGCCCCCTAGCCACCTGGTGAACTACGCTGGCGCCTTGTGGCTCGTGGCTCGTGGGCGGTTTCCAGCGCGAGGGGCCTTTTGGGTTCAGCTCCCACTCCGACCAAGCGGTTTCCTCCTAACATGGCAGGTGTGTAAAGGGAAGCCGGACGAAACACAGCTTTTCGAAACGCTCCGCAAAGAGGGCCGAAGGTTTGCAAAGAGCCCGGGCGGTCCCAAGTTTTCGGATGCAGGTGGTCCAAGGTTGTGGTGTTTTCGCTGTTGGTTCTGTGTTGCATGTTGGCTAACACTCCGTGGCCACTTTGCTTCGAACCCTGGGGTACCCTTTGGCCAAATGGTCATTCGCATTTCATGGAAAAGGGCAGCTTGCAGAGCGTGCCCGGCATCGACTACAGCCAAGTCGAGTTGGAACTGGTAGCGGAGCCCGTGGGCTCGATCAGGAACTTTGAGAAGGTCCTATAGTCGGAAGAGGAGAAGACGCCGGTCACCTTGCAGAGCAGCAAAGATGTTCCCGGATTGGACGGAGAGCAGAGCGGCTGGTATGACTTTGTCAGGACCCGGCTATTCTACGAGCGCACGCCTGTGCACAAGAGGTACCTGGTGGGGCCGGAGATAGCATCCAAGCTGTCCGGAAAAGCTTGGACCATCACCCACGAGCTGGACTTTGAGAAGCTCACCAAGGACGACGGCACGGCCTATCTCTTAAAGTATCTCGAGCACCGCTTGTGCAAGACCCCCGTGCCGGAAACGGGGCAGAAGCTTGAGGAGCTCTTCATCAGGCTTCGGCGGCCTCAAGGAATGGCGATGGCTCAATGGGCCACGGAGGTGAGGGAAGCATACAAACGCCTCCTCAAAGAGAACGACGCAGGAACCAGAACCCGACCGTGATTCGCTGGATCAGGAAATCATGGCAACACCGTCCTCGAGGGCACCGAGAAACACACCTACGTCGAGCCCTACGAGACGCGGTGGTGGTGAACCTGGCGAAGACGCTGGTCCTGCTGAAGACGCTGATTCGGGAGTACCTGAGGGCAACGATGGAGAAGGAGCTGAAGGGCAAGGCGATGATACCTGGTGGCAGGATGATTCATGGTGGTGGTCATCACGCTGGTGGGAGACCCAAGATGATGAAGCGGACTGGCAGGCCTGGGACGATCCTGGAGATTCATCAGTCAAGTGGGATGAGTTTGAAATTGAGGACATGGAGATCCTGCCGGATGAGGTTCTTGGGTGGCTACTTCTCAGACGAGCCGGACTCCCAGCTTCGGCTTGACTCAGTGTGCAGTCGGCCACTCAGAACTCCTTGCAGTTCGCAGACATCGAGCGAGCGATGAGAGACCAGGAGGAGGAGCTACTTCAGGCTGAACAACAACGAAATCAGCGGTATGACAACCGGCCACGGAGAACCTACTGGGTGGAGGAGCAAGGCCAGTGGGGCTTGGTTGAGGAGGAGGAACCCCAGAGCATCATGTGGGTTTGGTGATAAACTACTTGCTGAAGTATATCAAGTACAGGAGCTAGAGAACTACGGGAACCATGGTGGTGGAGTGAACCAGGATTGGGTCATGTATGCAGACGGTCAGCTCTATCACTGGCAGTGGCATGAAGATGACTTCTGGGCGGAGGACGCTGATGGAATCTGGTGGGCCTGGAGTGAGACAAAGCCATGGATGGAAATCCAAGAAGCCATGATGGTATCCTCGGATGATCCGCTTCTCAACGAGGTAGCCGAGGTGTACCAGGTCTACAACAACAAGATGCGGACCTTTCGGGAGTCGAAGAACATGGCCCAACAAGCTTGCACTGGTTGTGGCTTCTTCCTGTTTTATTAGAAAGGCTCGTTCAAGGGCAAGAAGGGCAAAGGCGGTGGAAAGTCGAAGTTTTCATCAGCCACTCCAATCATGGCAGTGGAAGGAAAGGGGAAGGGCTATGGATCGGCCAAAGGAGCTCAGCGCGTGGGCAATCCGGGATTCACCGGATGAAGCCGCAACAACATGGACAAGGGCTCTGGAAAGGTGAACGCGGTCTTCATGGTGGCGAGATTCCCATGAGATGGACCCCGCATACTCATTGCAGACTGCATTCCCTGGTCACGCTGTTCTGGACTCAGGAGCCACTGAGACTGTGGGCTCACTGGAGGCTATTCAGGCACTGATGGCCTTGCGGCAGGCAAAGTTTGGTCCGGAGCACTTTGAATTCTCTCCACCAACGGCAAGAGTTTCGAATGGCCAGACACAGTCAGCTGCCAGCTACCTTCTACTACCGCAGAAGCTCAACGGTGTGGACTTCCTGCTGGGAGTCTACACGCTGGACCATGTGGGACGTCTTCACTACTTTCAGTGAAGACGTTGCAACGTTTGGGCGCGGTGGTGGACTTCGAGGAGGCAAAGCTTTACCTTCGAGTGATCGGGGGAGATTTTCCGATTCCTTTGCAACGAGCCGAAAGCGGCCATCTTCTTTTGGACTTAGCAGCCGATTGGACGAGTACAGCCGGAAGTGAGAATCACACCCCTGTCCGGCGCCAACAGACCTTGTCCGACACCCGAGCATACATGGTGCGACTGAAGGGGGGTAGAGATGAGTTTTTTGGGGAGGTTGATGAGAATGAACCAGATCAGGGGAGCGATGTGAAGGTTGGCTATCAGTGGAATTTTTCATGGTTGAGACAAACGCCTTCCAGAGCTATTTCAAGCTCCATGAATTCCATAGAATCGGCCCTGGGAATCCTCTCTCCTCAGTCCAGCCATGTCAGAGACCTCGGATGCGGGATTCGTGAAGGTGGACGCGGAGGACTCGCAGAAGGTGATGGATCAGAAGCCAAAGGCGAAGAGCAAGGCAAAAGGAAAGTCGACGGCAAGCAAGGCAAGGGTGCCGACGCCGGAGAAGTACGACCTCTCCAGGGCGACTGGACCAGATCCCCGCGACCCTCGGTGCCAAGGTCCTCCTTGTCATGGACATCACCGGGAGATGAAGGAGGGGGATCGCTGTCAGGCCGAAATGGGCATGGCCTATGGAAGGTCTGCAGCGACTGTCGACTACGCATACTGTATGCCCCCGCCTACGGAGCGCACGGACATTATCGTCAAGCAGGCCCTCTACCGGTGGACACGTAGACGGTGGTGGAAGAAGAGATCGAGACGATCAACGAAATGACGTCCAAGGAGAAGCTCAACTCGAAGTCAGTGGCTCTTCGGTGAGCGGAGAAGTCATTGGAAGACAGGCTGCAGAAGATCAGGGAACAAAAGACCAAGGTGGTGGCTCAGGACCGACCTGGAGTGGTGATCGCGACCGACACCAAGAAGGCGGTCAAGCGGAACAACCTGGAGTCGCCGGAGACCTTGGAGGGCAAGAGCGTTGGAAGCAGAGTGAACGTTGACTTGGATGAGGAGGGCTACCTGCAGATGGAGGAGGAGCTCCTGGGGGATGACAAGACCTTTCTCATCCAGGCGGTTCGGGAGTACGAGGAGGATATGGAAGAGATCTACATGAACATGCCAAAGGAGCTGGAGTCAAAGTGTGAGCTCATGGAGGTGTGTTGTCCGGATACGAGCAGGCTCACGGAGACCTTCAAGAGAAGAGGAAAAGCCGCAATACGTCTGGGCCTGCCGGACGATCTGAGCACTCGAGCTGGTCTTGAAAAAGGGCTACAGATGATGCGAGAAAAGAGGCCCCGGATGGTGTGGTTCTCATTGCCCTGTGGACCATATAGTCTTATTCAGGCCATGTTCAATGAGAAGGACGAGATGGCTTGGTGGAAAAGTCAGATGAGGAAGAAGAAGAGTCGGAAGCTCATTCGCCACGGCCTGATCGTGGCGAATGGGAGGAGACATTGCATGGGAATGGCCGCGGCTGAATGGAGGCTGGACTTTGCCGGAGGTGAGAGGTTTCTTTCTGGAACTGGACCAAAGGCATCTTCTACATGTGGCACGTCTGGACGGATGCATGGTGGGTGTCAAGGCAGAGACTGGAGAAGCAATGAAGAAGCCGTGGACTATAAAGACAACCAGCCCAGCTGGCCTTGAGCAGGAGATGCTGTGGAGACCATGATCATGTAGAATGTCTGGGACATGGTCGGGCCACGCAGAGTGGATTCTACCCACAACAGATGTGCGACCTGAGCTATCGCGAGGTATGTCTTCAAGTGCCTCGCGAACAACAGGCAGAGAGAGATGTCCTCATGGCCGAGCTCTATCCCGTGATGGACGTGCAGAGCAATGGACTGGAGGGTCTGGAGAGTGAGAACAAGGAGACCATCGAAGAAGGCATGACCAAGGACGAGTTGAAGAAAGCAAGCATCCTGTTGGACAGGCTGCATCGGAGGACGGGACATCCCTCCAACCAAGCGCTGGCGTCATGCTTGAGACACCGTGGTGTGAGAAAGGAGGTGGTGCAGATGGCCACGAATTATCAGTGTCCTGATTGCCAGGAGATGAGGTTGGCAGATGTGGCACCAGCTGTGTCTCTCCAACAAGAAGGAGTTCTGTGGAAGACGATTGTGCTTGATGGAGCCGAGATCAAGTATGGAGACACGGTGGTCCATGTCATCATCATCTTGGATGAGGCCTCGAAGTATGCGGTGGCAGCCGAGATCTTTCGCCGGAACGTCGAGGAGTCTCGGAACACAACTGCTGAAGAGATGGTCAAGGCCTTGGAGACGCACTGGACCATGCATTATATCAGGAAGCTCAAGCAAGATGTTCGGACGGTTCTGAATGGCCAGGAGGCAGTAGACCCGTTCGGCGCGTTGGCTTCGGTGGTGGCTGCCCACAACACCATGGAGAGACTCACCATGTCAATGCGTGTTTGGGAGGCAGTTCACTTTGTCTGGGAGATTGTTTGATGATGGTATGGAGGACTCAATCTTCGGGTCCCAAGGCACTCCTGGACATGCTATGCAGAAGAATTTGCAGCTGCGGTTGCGGGCGGAAAATGTGTATCGGAAGAGTCAAGCCCAAGACAAGATCTCGAGAGCCTTGAACACGCGAGGACGACCTCAAGCTCGTTTCCTGCCGGGGGACTTGGTCTACTACAAGAGGGTGAAGCCACCAGCTGATTCGCCGGCAAATCCCATGGTGAGTCAGAAGTTGTGGAGATGGTGGGGACCGGCGCGGGTTCTCGCTACAGAGACAAGAGCGGATCTGGCAGGAGAAGAGAGGAGGCCACACAACGTGGTGTGGATTGTCACTGGGGCACGCTTGAAGAGATGCACGCCTCATCAGCTCAGGCATGCAAGTGAGCGAGAGAAGGCCATCGCAGACCATGTGGATTCTCCGGTTGCATCGTGGACGTTTCACAGTTTGCTACAGGGTGTAGAGAGCGGCCAGTATGATCGCTTCGACAACCGCATGTTTCCTGAGGATCTTGAGATGCGGAGGTTTGCGAAGCAACAGCATTTCGAAAGGCGCCGTTCAAGAACCCCTAGCAGGCAGGTCGGAGTAGCATCTGGAGTAGATTCTGAAGAAGAAGACTTGTTCAAGAGCCGAAAAAGAGGATTTGCTGTCCCACGGACTGATGCGGAGACACGGCCACTCCCAAGTGCATCAGCTCCCAAGACTCCAATAAGAGGCCATGCAGAGCCCAGCGAAGTCAGCCGGGATGAAGGAGCACATCCGAGAGGAAGAACAGAATCAAGAGGCAAAAGATCCGAAGAGGCCGAAAAGGTTTGAAACCGCAAGATCGCTATAGGATTCCCTTAGTCAGGTAGAGGCCGAAGCCATGGAACGAGGCGCTGGATCTACCGCAGCCGGGGAGACAGGCGAGCTCTTTGGCCAGCCACTATTTCAAGCACAGCAGGAGAGGCTCGCAAGACCGAAGGTTGGGCGTCCCCGGAAACCAATGCCTGAGAGACCGACCCTTGAGCGAGGGTATGTGGTGCAGAACGTGAATGAAGAGCAGGACAGTGGCGCCATTTTGGAAGCAACTGCTCCTGAGAATGTGGCAACCGGCTACTTCATTGAGCTGGAGATGGATGTCCCGGAGAACCGGAAGCAGTGGAAGTTGCTCCAGAACTCGCCGGAGGCGTTCTATGTGAAGAAGATCCGTGGAGCTGAGGTCAATGTGAACCAGCTCACTGAGCAGAAGAAGACGGAGTTTGATGAAGCTAAGGAGGCAGAGATTTCGCAATGGTTGCGCAATGAGGCAGTGCGGAGAGCCTCAACGGAAGCGGACTCAGCCAGATGCATTCGCATGCGGCGGGTGCTGACCTTGAAGGAGACTGGCAAGGCAAAGGCCCGCATTGTGCTTCTGGGGTATGAGGATCCAGATGCGCACACCGGGACGATCACATCGGCATCACCAACGATGAGCATGTTGCAGTTCAAGGTGTGCCGCTCATGGAGAGCTCTGAAAGGAGATGTGAAGGCAGCGTTTCTACAAGGCTCGGCTTCGGAGGCCGGACGCAGTTTTTTTGCACGACCCCTACCCGAACTGTCTCGAGCTATGGGACTAAAGGAAGGGGTGTGTGCAGATCATGAAGAGCTGCTTTGGTCTTATAACAGCACCAGCTTCCTGGTACGCAGACGTGGCCGCCACTCTGGAGAAAGCTGGACTGGAACGGTTGGTAACAGATCCCTGTTGCTGGCGGTTTTGCACGAGTGGGGTAGATGGTGCCAAGGAAACACAAGGACTTGTATGTGCTCATGTGGACGATTTCATTGTCATCGGCAACGAGCAGTGTGAAGCCTGGATGGACGCAATGCGCATCTTCCACGATCGCTATCAATGGAGTGACTGGGAGCATGGAACCTTCACTCATTGTGGCGTGGTGCTACGGGAGACCATTCCAAGTTCGTGGAGAGCTTGGAGCCGGCCATCTTTGAGGCCCGGGATGATGACTCTCCCGTGACGGAAAAGGAGCGCAGTCAACTCAGAGGACTTCTTGGTGCGCTACAATGGCGGTGCTACAATACGGCACCACAGCATGCGGCAAGGCTGTCCTTGATTCAATCAGAGGTCAACACAGCGACCATCGCGACCGTGAAATCAATGAACAAGTTGCTAAGGTGAACGCGCTTCACTGCCCGGAGGATGTGGAATTCTAGAGTTGGTGCGATGCGGCGGTTGGCAATCGCAAGGACTATGGCAGCACGGGCGGCTATGTGGTTGCCGCTACCACTCCGGGCATGGACAAGGGCGAGAACTCGCCATTGACGATTGTGGCGTGGAGGTCAGCCAGACTTCCTCGGGTGGCGAGATCCTCGCTGGGTGCTGAGCTGCAGGCCATGAGTGAGTGTGAGGAGGAGCTGATGTTCACCCGACATCCCTCCTGCAGAGATGACGAAGGCCTTGCAGGCGGTGAAGGGCACGTTGGTCACGGACGCCAAGACGTGGTGAAGCGTGGTGATCTGAATTCGGCAGGCGCCGGACTGAAAGAGAAATACTCAACCCTAGAGTTTCTCTGATTGCTGGAGATGCTGAAGACAGGCCGAACAGCTGTGAGATGGGTGCACAGTGATGCACAGCTCGCTGATGCGTTGACGAAGCCCTTGGCTCAGGGCGGATCTGTGAACAAGGTGCTGTGTGAGCATCGCTGGAGTGTGGTGTTCGACCCGAACTACACTTCAGCGAAGAAACGCAAGGGCACGGAGTTTAAGCCAAAAAGATAGTGGCGTTGTGGTATTTTCGCTGTTGGTTCTGTGTTGCATGTTGGCTAACACTCCGTGGCCACTTTGCTTCGAACCCTAGGGTACCCTTTGGCCAAATGGTCATTCGCATTTCATGGAAAAGGGCAGCTTGCAGAGCGTGCCCGGCATCGACTACAGCCAAGTCGAGTTGGAACAAGGTGGTGTTCACTGTGTTCACTACCCCCAAACCGCTACCACGAGAAGAAAACGGAGAAACATATGTATGTATGTGTAGTCCTTATACAGTTGCTATATAGTGGTTGCATATCCCATCAAAAGCTGGGTAGTGGTTTGGCGGTGGAGACCTCTCGCCGGGCGAGGTCCTCATCCAGCGCTGGTCCCCCAACTTCCGGCCGATCTTCGACGGCGTGGTGGCGGCTCGGCTTGTGCCAGGTGACAAAAGGGTGAGGGGTTTCGGTGGCATGAGGGCTTGAGGGCTGTCCAGGGTTGAGGTGTGCACCGCTCTCCGTTCCTCTCAGCTGAAGCCGTCACGTGAGCTGACGCGAGTTGCCAAGCTGTCCAGAAATTACACATCATGCGGCCCATCAAGAAGGAGGGTGACAGATGCGTTGAAGATCCGGCACTGTGACAAAGAGCGGTCTGCTGGCTGCAACTCATTAGCGCTTTCCCCTACTGGTGGCTAGGATTCAGCGCCACACTGCTTCTGAACAATCTGAACGGATAGGCAGAGCGGTGCGAGTGTGGGTAGGGCACCCCCCTGATTCGATTGCTGTCTGGTGTTCATCGGGCTTGGCTCCGTAAAACTGGGGAATTCCACAAACAAAAGGCTTCCCTAACTAAAAACTCGGGGGAGGGGGGAACGTTGAAAAGCGTAGACCGCTACTCTCGAAGCTTTTTTGACAATCTTGATTGACTGCGGCTTGTTTGCTTTTTGATGGAATGAGGAAAGGGTGTGCAGTTGCCAGCGCCACGTTCTCAAGTGGGCCGTTTGGTATGTGAGCATGGATCCGGTATATGTCCAGCCTGATGCGCTTGTGTCGACCATCCTGCAGTCAAAATTGGGGCACTGCCTTGCGCCGATTCAACTTCTCCAGGCGCCTGGGAACCTGCGCCCGAACTGTGGAAGCAACTTCGATCAGCAATCTGCACCTGGCCTTGCGAAAGGTACTGCCAGGGTTGGCTCGGAGGTTTTTGTTGGAGGGGCCGCGTCACTGCCTCTGCGCTGAGAACCTCTGGGCCCCTGGCAAGAAACCCTGCAGAGGTCAGGGCTCAGTCAGCCTTTGGACATAAGCAAACCTCGGCATGTTTCGTGTAAGGCAAAACATGGGTTGCATCATTGCGCAAAGAGTTGATAGAGGCAGAGCCCTAGTGGAGTTCCTGGAGGTCTCTGCTGAGAGGCCTTAAGGCCGATCCCTTCGCAGAAGCTCGCTGCAAGAAGACCGCAGCCTCGTTTTGTAGTTGCTTCAGTTGCTTTATAGCTACTGCGACTCTGGCGCTCAGGTTCTGCAAGTCGCTTCCCAGGTTGCACGAATCCACCCCGCCGCTGCAGTGGATCCTGGCAAGTCCCAAGGCCGTGCGGACGGGCTTTGCCTGAAGCGACGTGCCATGCATCCCAACGCACTCCGAAAGTATTGAAATAACAAACATGCTTGTCAACCTGCTGAGGCAGCTTGCTTAGCTGCAAGGGCAGTGTTTCAAATGACCAGGTTTCGCCATGGCGCCAGGCAGCCGTGCCGTATTTTGTGTTGGTCATTAGTGCCTTCACTTTCAACCCTCGGCTAATTTTGAGAAGAGCGGCCCGAAATCCAGGCGCTGGCTCCTGCAAGTTTCCCCTCTGCCACCACACATTTCCCACTCAGCTGGATAAGCCACCGTGCTGTGGGAGTTGAACATTTGCTGCAAGTCTCGGGCGCGAAACTCTTTGGCGTCTGCCGTTTTGGTGCAATGCCATGTGCGTGTTCACTTGCCAAGGTCTTAGTGTGACCTTCCTGGTTCCATTCGCCTTCAGGACGTGTTTGCTGTCAAGGCTTCATGGCGCTCAAGCCCACGGCTTCTTTGTGCGTGACTCGAACACGCGCAGTGTGCGTCATGACGAGCGCACCCGAGACGTTCTGCACCAGTATTGTTCACATTCTCATCCTTGTGCAACTTGTCCCTGCTGTGTTCTTCTGGCGCCCGTCTGCGTGGCGCCGTGTTCGGGCGTTGTATCACCGCCAGGGCAGCGCAATCATGGCAGAGTTTTCGAAGCAGAAAGGTGCCAGTCTCGCACCGCGCAAATGCAGCTCAAAAGCATGTGCGCACCGCGGAGGGCTGAGAAGTGTTCTTTAGCACGGATGACATACCTTCCCGGTGGATGTTTCAGTTTTGCAGAGACTCAGTTGACATTTCCTATGGCCAGAGATATGCACCGGCTTTTGTCCTGGCCGTTGCTTTCCGTTCACGAGGCCGGTGGGCTGAGAGCGCCTATTCAGGTACGAGCAGTAGCTACGGAATCAGCTAGCGGTTTCTGTGGGTCACAGCTCACGCCAAAAGTTTGCGACTTCATCCACGATGAAGGCTCCGTACCTTTTTGCCTAACCTCTCCGCAGCTCTGGGAGGGTCCTGGTGACCAGTCGTCAGCCTGCCGCTACCGCAGCCTCTTCCTTTCTGACCCTCGCGGCGCCTCTTTGGCTGCACTGGGCCGTTCTAGACTACTTCTCGTTCGTCGGCTGTCTCTGTCAGTTTGGCAGATGTATCCTTGGCTGGCGCACTGTCAGTCTGCGTGTCCGGAAGCCTGAGCCCAGAGCATGGAGGGGTTTTGGCACCAGCTGCTGGCTTCCTAAGGAAGACTGCCAGAAAATTAGGCGCCCCCCCCCCATGTCCACCACAAACTGTCAATCGTGTGATGTAAATTCTGTCAGTTGCTCGGTGCAGGCACCATCCTATCAAAGGATGAGCCCATGAGGGGCCGATTCAACCTGAAATGCAGGCACACTTGGTACAACTCCCCCCTGCCAATGCTTCTCAGCCTTCCCCCCCCAAACAAAAGGTTGAGACGCTGATTTGGCGTGGATGCGTGGTAGGAAGGGAGGCCGTTAGAAGAGTCGGCCCCCTTTGGACACAAAGTCCAGTCAAGAGGAAATTTCTAGATCCTCCCCTTCATGAAGACTTGAGGTTATGATTAATAGCACTCAGCTGGGAACGTGCCCAGATGGAATGCGTGGGAGCAGCAACCGGCCATGCTGTAACAATGACTCATCTTTGTGTATTAAGCGAACCAAGGGCTTTGGAGCCTTGAAAGCAGTGACAAGTAGATTTCTAATTCAGTACTACCTTTTGAATGCTCGAATGCAGGTGGTCCACAGGCGAGTGCCTTGCTGCAAACCGCCGCATCTGATTTTTTTGCTGCTCAGGTTACTCGTCAAAGGAATTCCGGACATCCGAAATCACAAGTTTTATGAACAAGCGCCACACGGGCAACCTGTCAGAAATCTGATGCCGTAAGGCCTCGTTGGGGATCTCACGAAAGCCTCGGGCGCTCCGACCAAAGCTTGTGGGCGGCTTCAGGGAGGGCGCGTCGCAGCAAGTTTGCGAGATGCAGATTGGGTTTGTCAGCTGATGTCAGCTGATGTCAAAGCTTTGCCCAAAAGACCGGGACGTGAATGATCAAATATGATCAACTCTGTTTGCGTGTCTGTGTGTGAACGCTAGGGACTCTGTGTGAATGGCGTCAAAAGGAAACCAACGTGTCAGCGTCCCGGTGACGCTCTTGGATACACATTGTGCACTTTCATCCACTGCGTGCCGGAAAGACATGTGTGTCGATCACGGATTGGAAAAAATCAGAGCCACGCAACATAGAGCGGTATCATCTTTCATCTCCGTTGGTCTGACGGTATGCTTGAGACCCGCCCTTAAGTCATCTTGGCACGAACTCTTCCATGTGTCAACAGTTTGAGCGGAAAGCTGAGGCATGTGAGGCACAATGCAAATTTCGGCTTTCCATGTTCGATAAGGTAATCTTGACCAAGGCTCATGTGGCAGCCTTCCATCTTTCCATTTGGCATCAGCACATCACTGGCGGACGGTGTTTTGGCCAGGGCCGCGGAGAGAGCTGGGTCGTTTTGCGCGGCAAGGCGTAACAGATGCAGCGCTGACCGCTTGCTAGGTCGCGCGAGCGCTTCTTTTAGGAGGTTTTCTAGTCATACGGTTGAAGCCCTAAATATTGCAAGTGCGGAGCAGAAAAACAAAGGGCACGGTCCACTAAGGGAAGCACTGTGACATGATATCTGTGGCCCCCCTTCCCCTGACACAATGTTGAACTTGCAATATATTGGGCCTCGGAAGACGGGATACGGGCTTGGCTTCAACATTGTAAGTGGGGGAGAGAGGTCCGCACGCAGCGGGCGATGCCACAGAAATGGTGTCAACATGTGCGTCGGTGGCGCTTGCAATATTTAGGGCTTCCACTGTATCGCTGGGGCCTGCCTCGCAAAGTTCAGGTGGCACTCAGCGAGGCTACAAAGTGTTTCTATTTGCTAGCGCAACAACTTGTCGACGAGATTGACTAGCTTCCAGCCGCCCCTTCGAAGAGAACTGAGAGCCAAACAAGTCTGCCATGGGAACTGATTCCATCGTTGGAACATGGTGGGGCTTTCGATCCGGAGAGGATCGCCTGCAGAAAATGGAAACCTCAGTCAGACGTGCAAAGCAGTCTGTGGCTCTGGCTCGGTTACTGGCCACTTTGAGTTACGCTTAAGCGCAAATCTGCAGCGGCTGGTTGTAGCTCCCCGCCCTCCGCACAAGCAAAGAACTCCAGGATGCAACTGCACTGCACTCCAAGATGTGAAGGCCCCGTTTGGAGTTTTTTCCTATATTCGCCGTGCAGGCCTTGTGGACGCCGCGCTGCATAACAACACGCGCACAGGTGCTGGGGGGAAGTTTAATGTCATGCCATACGCGGTTTGACCATAGTCCATTTTTGAGCAGGGTCTGGCTCCAAATTCAGCGCCCAAGGTGCGGAAGGCTCGCAGGTCTTAGACACAGGCTCGTGGAAGCGGAAGCTTTCGCGAAGGTCCATCGATTCAACTTGAAATGGAATATTCAGACCAACACTCACTTAAAATATGAAGTGAAACGTTGAACTTGAGAAAAATGCTCTGGGATGCGTGGGAAGCCTTCCTGCATGAGAACGTCAGGAACAGCATCCGGCTTGAAGTGCGAAAGTGGGTTGCGAAGGTTTGAGGTCCTGTGTGGCTCAGGGCTGCCCTTTGGATACACTTTGGTGGCCAGTCAAGCACCATCAGGTTCATTTTCAGGGGTAATTAAGCCGATAGGCACGCAAATTAAGCATTGCTGCCGAAGACTGCCCGCCCTGTCTCTGAAATGGCCATCAAAACCTCAGAGAACAATGCACAGAAGCCCGGAAGGCAACTCTGCCAGCCCGCGCATTTGAGCTTGGCTTGACATCTTTGACGCTTACATGGCCAGACGATGTGGGACGGTCGCAGGGTTGAGCCCGTTGGCCCTGGCCTCACATGTTGGCAACTGCTCCAAACTTTCGTGCCCAAACGACGCCAAGTTTTGCTTCTTCTGCCTTCCGATGAGCACCTGCTTCCATAACTTCCAGTTCGTCCCCTGCAAGTTCAGAAGGCTGGGCATTGCGCCCGATGCAGTGCCAAAGGCCAGCACACTTCTTGCAAGAAGCAAGAGTTGTTCGGCTTATTCATGACACAGTTTGGCAGGGTGTCAACTGTCAGTCCGGCCCGCTTATCTTGCAATCTACCAGATGACATTGACCTTTCTTGACGTGGCGCACACTGCGCATTTGCCACGGTCATTGCCAATCTCCTCGTGACCTTGCAAAATCCGAGTCTCAGGCTGATATCTGGCCAGATGCGAGTTGACGCCTGTGGTCTTAACAGCGTCCAAAAAGTGCGGGTCTGCTCAGCTCGCGGCCAGGCGCAAGCTTGTTTCTTTCTTTGCAGGCTGGTCCATAGAAATGGCTAGTGTCCCCGTGGCTTCTCTGCCAAGCAATCCAGAAGGGGTCCACCATTTTGAGATCCCCCCGCAATGGTACTGGCCAGATGTCGGAGGGTTGACTTGAAGAATCCTGACGGCTGCCAATTTTCAAGGTGACGTGCCCGGAGACCAATAGCAACATCGGTTTCGTATTTTTGTCCTTCGATCTAAGCACCCACGCTTCGAGGTCTTGGCATGGAACACTTACGTCTTGGCCGGCGGCGCGGTGCGAGAGGTGTTGGGCGGGGGGGGGGGGCACTTGGAGAGCGTGGCGCGCGTGAGTCAAGTCGGCATTCTCTTGAAAGCAGCCCCTAGAGACTTTCTGGACAACCATAAGCCAACATAGTATTGCTTGAGGATAGCATGATGTTGCATTTGCCACAGCTTTAGAAGTTTCGCTTTTGCTTGAGGGAGGGGGGGTACCTTGGCACAACTCAGCATAGCTCCCAAATTTATGGCCTTGTATCTGCCTGGGGGTGGCTCTATGTTTGTTTTTGCGAAAACTTCCACAGCTCACACATGCCCATACATGTGTACACCCACGTCGGCACATCCACACGCAAAGCTCAGGTTTTAGCATGCCCTTCGGCTCACAAGACTTCGCCACGAGAAGCCGCAAGACGATTTCCATCAGCCCTGGGTGTTTCATGGGGTTTTGCGCCGCTCATTGTTGTGTGGCAGTATGTCCTTCATTCAGTAAAACGGAAGCCAAGGCATAAGCGTTTTCGGGATTCTTTCCACATCCGATTGACAACCCCTTTTTACAGGCAGGCAAAGCAGGGTGCCTATTTTTCTCTTGCTGAATGCCGTAACAGGGTTGCGAACCATATAGTGCTGGGCCGGTGCTTTGGAACTCAGGACCAAGGGGAAGGGTGCAACCCATCTCTCCGACATCGAAAACCAGGCTGTGGGACCCACGCTCTTCGGCGCAGCGCCGGGGCCAAGCGAGAAGGCGCGATCTCGGATCTTTGACGGGGAGCGGCGGTTTTGCCGCATGGGAAAAAGTCACCCCAAAGGCGTGGAAAACCCATGAGTCTGTCTCAACATGAGCTAGGTTTTTTAGTAGTGCCCTTTTTTTGGGGGAAGGCTCTCCAACGAAAATAGACGACAGAAAAAAGGGTACCCTTACTCTAACCTGTCAAATCTGGAGGACGAGGGAAGAAAAAATGGTTGGTCTCCTTTTGGGAAGGGGCTGGTTTTAATGCTAGGGACCTTGGAAGGTACCGCTTTCCGCTGAGACGGCGCTGATTCTACCCACTTTCGGATTGGATGGGCCCGATTGATAGGAGAGCATTTGCACGTCCGGTGGGTTGGGCAAAGGCTATGGTCTTCCAGCCAAACTGGGGTGGACTTGGGGGGCAAAATAGTCGGGGCTCGTGGTGGCCAATATTTCTTTCAGTTCTCTTTGGCAAGGCTCTCCAAAATTTTAGGGGGCGGAAATAGGAATCCTGATCAACCCCCATCTCAGGCACACAAAAAGCCATGGCAGGCTGACCCTTGTGAGCAAAAGCGACAGCTATCGCCGCCACAACCTTTCTCACTCCTTCCGAGCATCGGCGTTTTCCTTTGCGTTCGCAGGCCTCCCCGAGCCAAACTCCCGATTTTCCGCTGGGTTCGTCGGGGAAGCATCATCAAGGGACATAAGAAGATTCACCACAAGCTTCTTGGGAAATCAACCCAAATCCTCGGGATCAACCCAAATCCAGGAACTCAACCAGCCAGCCGCAACGCCCCGCAAGAAAGCACCAATCCCCGCCCCAAACAACCACCACGACATCCCCCAGTAAAAACAACAGCAACCCACAGCCATCCCCCAGAGACATCCCAAGAGCCACCCGGAAGACATCCCCAAAGACATCAAGACAACCGCAAAGACCACCCAAACGAAGTCCCCCCCCCCCGGCGCCCCCCTTCCGAGGCTTTGGAGGGGTGTTTCGACCATAAACTGGGGGGGGGGCTCATAAATGAAGCGGAAGGGGCAAACCGCGGAGTTTGGGTTCCCATGTTTTCACTGACCGATCGGGCAACCCATTTTGGAATTCCGGTTTTTTGGTCGCCCTCGAGGCCAAATCCCTCGAAACCCCAAGGCCCCAGGTGGGGATCGAAAGGTGCAGGCCTCCGTGGACTGTGCGAAGCACTCTTTCGGCGCCATCCTGCGCTGGAGCGGGGGAGAAGGGGGGGGGGTTGGGGGGGTTGGGGGTGGGTGGGTGGAGGTGGAGTGGTGGTTTGGGGGGCTTCAGTTTTTTGTTTGTTTGTTGTTCATTGTGAATTTTCTTTTTGAAGGGGGGTTGTGCATGGTTTTGGGTTGAGCTTTTGTTTGTTTGGGGCTTAGGGTTTGGGGTTCGGCGGGAGCGAGGGTATCCCCGATCCCGGGCCCAATGTCCAAGGAATTTGCTTCGATGTATCTCCGCTAGCATGGCAGCCCGTTGGGGGGTGTAGTTCAGGTGGTGAATTTCCAAGCCTACGGGTTGCCCTACACGAAGCCACTAAAGGCAACAGCTCCGCAGTAGCCGGCCTTTCTGTGCCTGAAGGGCAATGTCAATTTTGCTAAAAGGATTCTCCACCCTGCTCGGCAGTAGCAGGAATTCTGCATTCGCCCGGTTTCTGCTGGCACGCTGCCATAGTTGCCCGGAAGCGGAAGCATGCTGAGTTCAAGCCAAGTGGATAGGTGGGTCCTTACTCTTTTAGGGTTGGTGTAAAGGGGATCCAACGGGATACAGCCCAACAATGCAAGCTTCGGGAGCCTCACAATCTTTTGAGCACCCCCCCAAGATGGGCTGAGACAATTAGAAAGAGACTTCCCGACCAGAGACCGGGGAACGCAAACTATTCAATTTGGGAACAGCCACAAAGAGTGTCCGGAAGGATCTTTCCTACAAATGAGGGTTTTGGGCAACCGGCCACCAGCCACCAACCAATCAAAGCATGGGGAGGAGAGGGAGGCTCAACTTGGTCGAACCTTCCCATGGCAAGTGTTGAGATTTTTGGAAACCTCGCGCGGGTCCAAACCTTTTGCCAGGATGGGTGAGAAGCTGCGCCGGGCGCTCAGATTTGGACGCTGGTGGACCAGGGTTGCTCTGGCAGCGATTCCTGAGCTTGAACAAAGAATGACAAGGAAGCACGCATGCATCGCTGAACGCAGTTGCAAGACGACCTTTTCGCCTTTGTCTCTTTTTGGGCCAGTTTGGGTCCAGGTCTCACAAGATTTGCCTGTCATGTTCGGTATGTCCTTTGGGCAGGTGAGAAATGATCACATGTGCCGATTGATTCGGAGGACCTTTTGGTGAATAAGGAGATTCTTGGATGCATTTGTTGGGGGAAACTGAGCATACTTTGGTGCATCGGTGCATGGGGTTGGGTGGGGGATCTTCCGAGGACCCCGAATGCTTCCTGGCTTAAGCAAAGTTTGTTGCGTGACCTGCTTTGAGGATATTCAAACAGTTGTTACTTCAGGTCTAGCAAGGTGATGAGACTTTCCACTATAAGGGGCTTGGGGGTGGCACGAACACCATGCGCATCTCAATCGCGAATCTGGCCCAGCCACCTTTCGAACCTTGGGAGGATGCCACGTGTGCAACCTTCGGTTTTCTTCAAAAGGGCCGTCTTTAGGCCTTGCGAAAAAGCAAGTAGATCCCAAGAGATGCAGCTGATTAGCTGTCTAAAGGGACGCCGAGAAAGGGGCGCCCAAAAGGAAACCCGGCTTTGCTGCCAAACCCTGTCTCTCTGCAATCTGTATCTCCCTTCGTTTTTCTGTTTTTTCTCCGAGGCGATTTCCTGGCCGCTTGGATGTTTTGGGGAAGACGGGCGGAAGGCATAGTGATGGACACATTCCACTTCGCACCAGGTGGGTATGGGCCGAAATTAAACGACCAGGGGACCGCAGGTTTTGGTCCATGTTTCCACTTACCGGGGTTCCATTTGGGAACCTATTTTTGACACACAGGTGAGAAGTCCTAACATTCATCAGGCTTCGTTCATCCCAACTGGTGCAGGATCTCGTCCATCGGTCAAAATAGTCGGTGGTCAATTTGGAAGGGACATGGACGAGTTCGAAATTTCCCGGCAGGCACTAGGGGACGAACCCAAAAGTTTCATTTTGACTGGCTAGTATGGTTGTTAACCCCCCCCCCCCCACAACTCCTCAAAGGGGCCGCTTCCCCAAGAAGGCCACAACTATTTCTGGCTGGGACTGCCCCTGACTAACCTTCATCTATCCCCGGGTTTTGATTGTGGCTCAAGTGAAAGACGTCACGTTCCCCTGGCCCAGAATCCCATCCTGCTCACTGTGTCTCAGCGGCGGAATCCTCCAAGCAACTCCCATCATCCCAAAGAACGGAGCTAGAATTGAACCGTTTAAAGGTTACTTCTTTACATGGTCGGCCGGGCCACTTTAAGACCGGGTTTTGAGCCAGTGACTCCCTTTGGGAAACCGCATTGCATACACAATGCGGCTGTTGCGTGAGATCTTTGGATGGGGTTGGCCTCGTGTCGCGTGTGTTTTGGCCCTCCCGCCCACGAAGCGCGGCGCTTTGTGAAGGAAGGGTTGGCTTTTGGAAAAGCGGCCGCCAGCGCTGAGGTCGCAGTGAAAGAAGGCTCGGCTGGTCTTTGACTTTGGCCACTTGGTTCGTTGGTTAGTACCCTGCATCATGGCAAAGTGACACCTAGGGGGTCCATTGAAGGGTGAGGAATGTGATCTTCCTGGCTTCCAGGTACCCTCCCACAGATGCTATGTTACGTGGAGTCTGAAAAACAAACTTGTGAGCTACTCTGGACGGACGAAACCCTGCACCACTATGAAACCGTGAGAAACCAAGGTTTGCTGGTATTCACAGGGAGTTCATCATTCCAGAGTTTCTCAGGTAGTGCAGGATATCGTCCGTCTGGACAATGCGGGGGACAATCCCGGTATTCCTGGTTCAATAGATGCATGGTTCATTGTGCAGACCATCAGCGCGTGTTATGTGGTGACCCTCGCGCAGGCTGTGTTCGCGCCTGGCATGGCTTCTGTGCTGAACTCAGCTCGCGTGCATCCCTCCTCGCTTAGGAAGCAGAAGCTTCCCTGGTGTGTCCGCCAAAAGTGGTTGAGAGACACTCCCTGTTTTGGATGGCCTCGCGGTAGTAGGGGACCGTCAGCATTCACAGGCAGTGGGGTCTTGCCGCCACCATTTGTGAGAAAATGGGCGACCCCTAGGAATGCTTCACTACCCAGGGGGTCGATCAATTTTCCACCAAAGGTGGCAAAAAGACCCCCCTGTTCACAGGCCCCACGCCCATTTCTTGGCACGTGTCAACCTGCTTTCCCTGAGGTTGGGCCACGGAAGCTGGCTGGAAATGGCGCGCGAATTATTTGGGGGGACGAAGTCAAAAAACTCGCCAAACCGGTTGACTTGGGGCTCTTGCCCAGAGCCCTTTTGCTTTTGTTCAGGTATACTTTTGTTTTCCTCCCGGGGGTTCTGGACATGTTTCTGGGAGTGGGAATGGATGCCTGATGCGAGACCAGCACTTGCATGACCCAGCTTTTGCCTTTGCTGCGTCACATTGACAGAGCCAGGAGGCCAAAGTCTTGATAGGGAAAGCTTTGAAAGGAAGCCTCAGAAGCACATCTTTGTCCGAATATTTTGCAGCGCTCAACACCATTGCCGGAAAAAAAAACCCGGGTTACTCAAAATCGACTCCTTCACAGCTTTTTTTTTTTTTCTTCGGGGAGAAAGGGGGGATCTTGAATCCTGGTGCCAGGTTCAAGCACGGATGCAACTTGTTCCGGCAGCATTTGCAGCTGGGCTCAACAGCGACTCCTAGGTACTTGGCCGTGCCCCCTTTTGCCTTTTGCGGGAAGCCCCCGTTCCATGGTGACCAAAGGGAAACCCCACCATTTTGGAGGGGTCCTCTAAAAAAGCACAAACTCAGTTGGCAGTGAACTGGGAGATTGCACCAACAGCTGTGACGATTCCCCGGCCGTTTTCCGTCCTTTTCTCCGTGGGCTACCTGCTGAACGGCCTGTTGGCCGTTCACTGCCGCCTTTCCCCGTTGACCAAGATTAGAAAGTGGATATGGTGATGAACTGAAGCCGTTTTTCATGACCTTGCTGGGAATACCTCTGTGATCCTCTTTTGAGGCAGGGCCCTCCCCCCTCTTTAAACACGTCGAGAGGTTTATTCAGGCAGCCCTTCATTGGAGCTTTTGGTGGGGCAACACTAAGCCACCAATCCGAGCCCAATGCGTGAGGCTGAAACAACTTGTGTCAAAGTAGACCCGAAGTGTCGGCACACCATACGCCCCCCGAGTTTGGCCTCAGTTTCACCACCTTCCTCAATGAGGGGGATCTTTTTTTTTTCTTCTTCCGAGCCCCTTACGAATCCTATTTTTTACCCAAGTTTTGAGTTTTCCTGCGGCTGCCCTTAGGAATCTGAGCTGTTTATCACAAGTTGTGATGGCACGGTCTTACCGACTTAGTCGATTTTGCCAAAAAAAAGGTACCGCCCCTGTCCGAGGTTTGCCTCGGTGAAGTTCCTGGTGCAGACGCTGCTGTGGCTTCTGGCCACGGCGCCTCGGACGGTTGCGCCTTCGCCTTTGGTCTTCCGAACGCTTTGTGTGGGCTCCTTTGTTCTTTTTTGGTTAATACTGTGGATGGACGATCCATTTCGCACCACTTTGAAAGCATGGTTGAAACCTGGTATTTGCAGGGGAATCATCATTCCAGGGCTTCTTAGATCGTGCAGGATTTCGTCCATCCACAGTAGGTAAGGCTTGGCAAAAAAGTTGGTTCGCACAATTATCCCGGCAGGAGACCCCAACTAGTATTGGGTTTAGCTTGACGAGCATGGAAGCACGTCAAATAGACTTCGGCACCTCTCTTATGAGATGAGCAACAAAACGTACACACGTCAATGTCCCTGCTCAAGCGTAGCTTCTGCTTGGCTAAGCCTGGTTCCCAAAATCAGAGAAGATATATCCGTTCTTATAGTACCCCAGAGTTTGGCTAAGACTACTTGAGGTAAGTTTGACAATGACCCGTTTAGTAAGTTGTTGTGTAACTGTAACCTTGGCAATGCCCCATCTAGAATACTTAGGGCGGTGGGGATGGGATTGAACAATGGGTAGCGCCGCGCTTAGGCGATGCCCATTTTCCCAGGGCCTACATTTGGAGGAAACCTGTAGAACCGTGTCACTGCGCTGCAGAAGCAAATTTAGGTTCCTTTCCAGAGGGACCACCTTATGTTCGATTGACAATGCCCACATATGGGCACTCTCTGGTTTGCAGGTTGCTTGTAACAACAAAACCAACATAGAGGGCCTACCCTTTGAAGCCCTTGTGCGCTTTCAAAGCGACCAAGCGAGAAGAGAGAGGCCAGTATTTTACTCGTGCTCTGCGCAGGTGTTTTACAGCTTCGCCTACATTTTCCTCCTGGCGCTGACCGGGGTACGCGTGACTCTCTACTGGGCCCTTGCGATCATCAAGGCGCATTTGGTCCTTTCGCTCTCTGTTTTGAGCGTGTCGCAACCAGGTTCGCCCCTAGTGAATGGTGTCCTGTTAGCCCTCCATGCACGAGCTTTGACGGCTTGGAGAAGCTGCAGCGGGCATTTCATGCTATCGGGAAAAAGAAAGCGCAAGTTCTTGCCAATGAGAAATGGCTCGCTAGTTCTTTTGGAGGGCTCCGTCATGATTTTCTTCACCATCGCGGACTTTGTCAAGAAGTGCCACATGGATGCAGCCAGATGGGGGAGCATGGGCCATTGGCGCTGTAAACCCACCCAGCACCCCAAGTAAGAAGGGCGCCATCAAATGAAATACGCACACACACACACACACCCGCAGTTGTGTACCTGTTTTTGGGATGCCAATTCCTAGTTTGAGCCATGCTTTCAACCTTGAGGCCAAACAAATCCTTAGACCAAGCAATCTGCGCAATTTCCTCATTGGCGTTGGTGGCTCGGCTTGGAATGGGGCGCCTTTGCGCCCATTAAGGGGCTGACTGATGGGGGGTTGGTGTGCAACGAGTGGCCGTGTGGAAAAAGGGGGGGTTCGATTGCCACCTTGTGTGATACGAAAGGGGCCTCTCCGCCCTCAAAGTGCTGAGGGCTCTACTTTGTTGTCACGGGAAAGGGTCGCCGTAGTTGAGACAGCCGTGCGTCAGGTAACCCTGAGTTGGTGGTTTGGATTTGTGGTTTGGGAATTTGACCCCCTATTTCTTGCACTGGTAGACCGGCCAATGGGAAACTGCCCGGGAACACCTCCAACCCACCAATCCCAACCTGGGTGCCTTCGGGGGGAAGGCGCCGACTGTTCGCTCCGCTCCCCGGGAGGGGGGAAGGCATGGTGGTCTTCTACTTCCTGCCGGATGTGTCCAGCCTGGGCAGCGGATGTTTCTACTGCGTGCTGTGGCCGAAAGATGGCCAGTGGCCGAAGCAGGCCGGAGCGAGACGTTTTTGTGTGTTTTGCTTCTCTTTGTTTTTTTTCGGCAATATTTGTTGCATGCCGTGGTTTGGGGAGTTGAACCTCTGGTTCTTGTGGGCAAAAACCACCAATTAGAGGGAATCTGACCGGGGGTCAAACCCAGGGGGCCCTTGTTTTTGGCATGGCTGAGAGAGGAAGCAATTAAAAGGGAAACCAACAGGAAAAACAAAATGGGGGTCCAATTCCAAAAGGAGAGGAGCCACTGAGAGGGAGAGGGAGAGAGAAGGCTTGGCTGTCCCCGGTTCGACTGAGACCATGGGCTACGTTTGAGTATTTCTTTTTGAGGCTATGTGCCTTTTGGGGTTGTTTTTAATCCCATTCCAGACTTTACACTTTCTGTCGCTTTCTCGCGTCATCCTTCAGGTGTTGGGGCCACGGCCGGCTTTCAGCCAGTGGGCTGGAAGCTGAGTTCACGAAAGCGCGGTGTGCGACTGGTTTTGCTGATGGCTGGAAATGGGCACTTTCTGAAACGGGGTGCAATCAAAGCGGCGATCCATGTTGGGTTTCTTGGGTTCTCATTGGAAGACATTTCCGGATCTCCATAGAACCGTTTTTTGAGGGTTGCTTCCGTGAAGTTAAGAGAAGTACCATGATGGCCGACTTCCGTTGCGAGGTCTCACCTTTCTGCCCACATTGCCAGTGACGGGCCCGGGCCGCTGATCGAAGGTGATGGGTGGCCTCAAAAGCTTGGCGCGCGGATATTGGAGAACGGCTTGCAGTGACATGTCTGTGGATTTCATGGGGGAGCATCCTCAAAGACGGGCAGACGTCCGTCCCAGTGATGATGTCCGTTACAGGGCCTCCAATTGAACAACGTGTTGCGGCGATCCTGGGATGTCTCTTGCTCTTTGGCTCAATGCTGCAGAGAAGCTTTTACCCTCACCAAGCATTCACAGCCCCGAACCCAGCCGAATCCAGCAACGGCGCCCAGACCCGAAAGCCTCTCCAGACACGAGCAAGGCAGAGTTTCAACCCCTTCTCGAAAGGCGACTTTCAAAGACTTGTTGGTTACCACCTTAGGTGAGTTTCTGTTGGGTTTGCAAAAGGGTTTCTTTTCCGGAGCCCGAACGCGGCCTTGCGCTCGCTCGACACCGCGAGCAGCAAGCTGTTCCGGCCCTTTCCCGCGCCGAAGGGGTGCCAGGCGAGGGCCAAAAGCATAGGAGCCAACTGAGATGGGATCTGCTCATTGCATCTCTGCCCAGGTAGGCGGGCTTCTCCCCCACGAGACCTAAAGCCAGGCAAATGGGGTACTGGCACCTGGAGATTCAGCAAGTGCAATTTGTTCTGTCCATACGGCTTGGGGTCACAATAAAAGGCAACACACGGGCATTTGCGGTCTTTGGTCAACATTTTGTTGAACAAATACGGGCTGCATACGGCCAAATATGGCCACCGGCCAGAACAAGCATGACCACACGAAACGGTCCAAGTACGGGTTCCTTCCACCAAAACATGGCCATAGGACTTTCCAAGCACCTTGGTGTGGTACACCTGGTCAGGTCGGGACTCTTGCCCTCGCAGCTCCCGCGTCCGGAGAGGATGGCGCCCAAGGGCGTGCGGGGGCTCAGACGGGCGGACCTGCAGATGGCGGGAAGCGGGAATCCAGGCCTTGGAAGTCATGTTTCTTTCTTGGCCGGCAGATTTCAGCCGAAAGCAGAGGCCATTTGGTTGACAATTGACATATCCTTGGTTTTGGTTTGGTTTCCCCGTAAGCAGCAATAAGTCACACACCTAGGCATTTCCTATATTGAAACAAGGGCTTTTGACTTCCATTCCAAGCACGTCCTAGTGTGGTTTCCTGTTTGCTTCCCTTCAAAGGGGGGGCCCTTTCATGAGACTCGGAACCTTTGGCTCCTCTCTCTGCTGAGATGAGCAACCGGACGCTCCTGGCGAAGCGGAAAGGCTTGGGCATCCGGGAATCCGGGCGCGATGTTTTGCATGCGGCTTCGAAGCCCCAGTTTTCTGATGAAATCCATTTGAGCTTGGATTGGCGTGATGAGACCGGCTTCCCCAGATAGTACGCCCCCTGCCTGGGTGCGCATGTGCGGTAAACCCTTGAAAACTTGCTAGGAAGACAACTCACTGACTGGCGGTGGTCATCCAGGTAAAGTCAGGGGCAAGGTGAGGTACCGGGTGGTCCGCGAGGCATTAAGATGGGCAGCAACGTGAGTGTCACGTACCGAGAGGACCCGGCTCGGTTGCCGCCGTTGGTTGAATTGTGTCCCCCATCGGCGAACACCAGCGCAAAGAGCCTCATTGGTGACGATCTCCTCTTGTTTGTTTTTGGGGGGCCCCCCCCCTTTAGGGGGGTCCTCTTGTGAGTTTGGTCAGGTTCAGATCAAAGTTCGGGGGTCCAGATGAGAGGTGAGCGCAGCCCCTTTAAGCCCCTGGGTTTTTGGCCGTGAGGAATGAGTGGGGCCAATGTGAGCCTTGACCATCCGGAGGAGGTCAATCGGTTTAGAGACCTTGCTGCCCACTTGACCTCGATTCTGGCATTGTGAGCTCCAGTCTGGACACACGTATCCGCAAGTTTGTTTCGCTTGGTCAAAATCTCTGGGCATTTTCAGAACGCCAGCTGCACCGGAACCCCCCATGGATCGATTGCAGATGAAGTCTGGCAGGAGCCGACTTGATGGTTTCCGAAATCACTAGGGCTCCTGGTTGACATCAAACTCCGGGGAGTTGAACCCTCGCCAAGAACTGGACCTCCGGATTGGTTTTTGGTCGACGGCTTTTAAGACTTAGCCTGGTGGATTCACCCCTTGTGAATTGCAGCCCCTTTTCTTTGGGTGGTGTTGAGCCAAGCAAAACACCTCTCACCAACGCAAGGTAGAGCTTGCTTCCATTCTGTTTGAGCATTGGTGAGTCTGGCCCCAAAACGCCTATGGAAGGGAGCCAAAGCCATTCGGGGCGTCCAACCCCAAAAGACCGAAACTCAAATGGTTGTGGGTCAAAACTAAACCACCAGAAAACTGCAGGTTTTAGTCATAGTCCTTGGTTCCATTTACCAGGGCTCCATTTTGAGTACCTATCGACCCACACCCAAAACCCATCGCAGGATGGCAAAGGCCCGCAGATGAAGTACGAGGGCATCATGCACGACCGCCGCATTGGCGGCACCGACCGGGAGTCCTACGCCGGGATCCCTGAGCTCCCGGTCCCGAAAAACTCGCCGCGGATGGACCAATGCCCGGAGTTGGGTTATCCCATCGGGTTTCCACCGGCTGGATCTTTTGAAGCCCCTCAGGACCAACCACCGTGAAATCCGTGTTTTGGGTTTTGGCTTCCTTTGGTTGCGGCGCAAGGGCCTGATCTTTTTTTGCGAGGGGTGAGATCATTCTTGGAGCCCATTTTGCCTTGAGCAGGGGATGAGGGAATCAACCCAGACTTTCCCCTGAAAGGAAACCACCGGTTGGATGGTGTATAGGGGTCATTCCCTTTCTCATGCCCTGCCTATCGCACCGATCGGTCTCGTTGGTCTCGTAGGGTCCCTTGGTGGCGAAACGGCCCTATAGTTTTGGTATGGCGGAACGGCTTCGGAGCGCTAGCACCGAGATTGAGCTGAAGAACACCCTCATCGTGGGCAGCGACAACGAGATCATCGGGGTAGAGACTCGCCATGAGAAGAAACCACCAAGCCCTTAGCCGCTGGCCCCAAAGGGGAAACCAATTGGAGGTTGTCCAAAGCGAGTTGACTGGATCTGCCATCGCGGCTTATTTTCCATTTTTGGTAAAGGCCCCAAAAGCTTAGCCTTTGGTTTTCAGGGGCAACGAAGAAAAAGAGGTTGTCAAAAAACACGGTTGCATGTTTTAAGGGGCAGGCGGCGGTAAGAGTCTTCTTTTTGCAAGAGCTTCTGCAAATCCTAAACTGGCCCTTGGTGCTGACTTGGTGCCTACTTTGTGGGGGATCCACAGAAAGTAACATCCAAACTGAACCAAGGTGTGCGTCTGAGTCAGTGACTTCGGATTAAGACAGAGGATTGTATTCGGAGCTGGTGCCCCTTGGGGTGCTTGGATTGGATGCATTGTGGTTGGATTCCCCTGGTTTGTATTCTTCTGATTTGCATGCTCCGAATGAATCTGAACTTAATAATTGCTATCAGCATCTATGGCAAACAGGCTGACATGGGGTATGCTCGCCACATATGAGTAAACGGACGCTGTTGGTGAAGTGCTGGGGATTGCCGGGCTTACATTGCAGACTTCCAGATCGGTCGATTGGACTTATGGGGTGTACAAAGCCTGAAAACCACACCTTGAAGCTCCCGTCGGTTTCCTTTGGGTACATTTGTTTTAATTCTCAGGACGTGGACAGGATTGTCAAACTGCGTGGCAGTCTGTCCACTTCCGTGTTTCTTTTTGGTAGGCAATCTGCTGCGCCCATTTTGGCTTCCTTTTCGATGGCAAGCGCTCACCACATCTCCCTCCGCGCATAGGAAGGGAACAAGAGGCTCTGCGATGCGTGGATCGATGACATGGACCTGGTCGAAAAGAGGCGACTTGGAGCTGGCGCATGTCCAGCTTTTCGCGTGCTCACTGGAATTCGTTGTTCCAAAGGCTTCGCCTCCCGCAACAAAACCACAAGCTCGTCTGATTTCGAAGGGGGATCCTACAAAGAGTTTTTGTTTTTTTAAACAATCCCCTGAGTTTTTTTAAACAAAAAGTGACTGAACCTCGAAAACCTTCCACGTCCGAGGTGTTGTGCGCCCAGAAACAGCGGTCGCTGTGAGGTCGGTCGAGGAGTTTAGCGCGGCGCAGGCCCGGAAAGTCGGGGGCCCAGCTATGCCCTGCTGCGCCCAAAAAAACAAGAGAAACCGTCGTTTGGTGGGGTGCTGGTCTGAGTTTCCCTAGTCTCAATTTCCCTAGTAAGCCAAAAGGCTTTCGGAAGCCAGTCAAATCGGACTTCAGTCCTTGCCCAAACTCCCACTTCCTGGCTCTCATGACTCACGCCGGAGCGCCCCGTTCCTTTCTCATGGAAACCGCGGGGTCTCCCAAAAGGAAACCGCGTCTTTGTCTCCCACGGTCAGCTTCCCGGGATGGCGCCCGCAGGCCCCACCTCGGCCGGACGGGCCCCGGAGCGCCAGCATGGGCAGCTCCGGGGGCCCGGAAGCCCAGCTCGGAGCGCGCTTTGGCGGGCCCTGGGTGTTTTGGTGGGAGGCCTTGTGTGTCTTTTGGTCGTCCCAAAAGGGAACCACAAGTGGAAAACTGTGGGGAGTTGGGCTTTTGGGGTTGGGGGGGTTGGGTGGAGTTAGGTGGGGTTTGAGGGGGGGGGGGGTTTGAGGGTTGGGGGGAGTTAGGGGTTGGGGTTATTGTAAACGAATCGCGTTGCCCGCCTCGGCCAGTCCGCTTTTCGCTGGCTTTGAGGTTTTCACCGTCCTTTAGTTTGCCTTGAAGTCTTGTGTTTGCGTGAGTTTCGGGGGGTGCCGGTTTCTGGAAGGATTTATTAGAAGGATTTGACAGGCTTTGTATGGCTTTGTTTTTTTGACTGGCGGCTTTGTTTTTTTTGGTCGTCCCAAAAGGGAACCAAAAGCGGAAAACCGTGGGGAGGTAGGCTTTGGCTGGGGGCTTGAGGGCCCACGGGAGTTAGGGGTTGGGGTTAGGGCTTGCCGGGGGAAGGGAGCATGGGAAGACTGCGACAAGACTGAGGTTTGGGGTTTAGGGTGTTTAGGGTTTGGGTGTTGGGGCTGTGGGCCTCCCCGGTCCTATCGTCCTTGGGCAGCCAAAACTTCATTCACCTCGGCCAATACAAAGCGAGTGCCCGTGGGCCATCAGAGGGGAAGTAATCCCTAAGAAAGAGGAACCCTTGGTTTGTAACAATCTCAGACTTGCAGAAAGCGATGAATGTCCACTAAAATTGGGCACTCCCCTATTCATCAACCAGGGGTTTATAAATTCGGGGTTCCCATGACCGCATTCGTAAAAGAGGTATGAACTCCAAAAAATGACGCACCTCTGTGGGTGAGGCTGGGTTCCCTTTTCAGGCTTGTTGCTGCGGGAAACCAGCATGAACACCACCATAAAGAGCTGCGGGGGGGGGGGGGGCTTTTTTGACATACTTGTATGAAGGTTTTGTTCTCTTGCTTCATCCAGTTGGCCCTGTAAACCCGGAAGTCTTTTGACACGTTCCTCTTCGCTAAAACCGGGCATTCCCTTTCAGCGGACCTTGTGAAACCCTTCGGCCGTGCCGAGGCCTGCCGGGCATGCCAGGCATGCCAGGGATGCCAAGCATGCCAAGCATGCCAGGCCGGGTGGGGCCCATGCTGGCGTTTGTCGAGGAGACACTTCGCCAAGTGGCGTCTGTGAAGCTGCAAGCCAGAAACCAGTCTACCACGCCAGGGCGAGGTAGGTTTTCCGAGGTTTTATTGAGCAATAGATTGACGGCTGCATCGATGGCCATGTAACCCAATCGCAGACGCAGAGGGGTCGTTTTACAAGGCACGCCGCAGGCTGATCGTTGCTCAGTGCGGACCTTGTCGTGTACCCGCTGTGTATTTCCACGTTTTCTACCGTTTTCATGGTGCTCATGCTTTTCATTGTGTTTGTGGTTTCCATGGTGGCCACAATTTCCATGGCTTCAATGGTTTCTATGGTTTCTATGGTGGTTTCTGTGGCTTCTATGGTGTTTCCACAGCTTCTATAGTTTGCATGGTTTCCGTTTCTGCCGTTTCCACGGTTCCCATGGTTCCGCATAGTTTCCATAGTTTCTATGGTTTCTATGTTTTCCGCGGCTTCAATGGCGTCTGTGGCGCTATGGTTCCCGTAGCTTCTACAGTTTCCATGTTTTAGATGGTTGCCATAGTTTTCATGGCTTCTATGGTTTCCATGCTTTGCATTATTTCCATGATTTCCATGTTTTGCGTGGTTTTCAAGGTTTCTGTGGTTCTATGGCTTGTAAGGTTTCCATGGTTTCCGCGGCTTCTACTCTTTCCATGAATTTCATGGTTTCTAATGTGTCTATGGTTCCTTTCTGGTTCCATGCTTTCTATGGTTTCCATAGTTTATTTTCTTTGGTTTCCATGGTTTCCATGGGCTTCCATGCTTTCTATGTTTCTTTTTTGAATGGTTTCTTTGGTTCTATGCTTTCCATGGCTTCTACGCTTCCATGGTTTCTATGGTGTACATGGTTTCCATGGTTTCTACCGTTTCCACGCATTCTATGTTTTCCATGGTTTCTGTGGTTGCCACAGTTTCTACAGTTTCCATGGTTTGTTTGGTTTCCATGCTTTCTATGGTTTCCATGGTTTCTAAGGTTCTCTAGAGTTTCCATCGTTTCTACAGTTTCCATGGCTTATTTGGTGTTCCATGATTTTCTAATGTTTCCATAGTTTCTACGGTTTCCATGGCTTCGATTTTATGGCCTTGTGGTTTGCATGGGTTCCTTGGTTGCGTGTCTTGCAGAACAATGACGGCCCTCCCCTTTCAGGCATGGGCCCCTGCGGCTGTTGCGGCGGCTGCGGCTGTGGCGGCTGCGGCGGCTGCTGTGGCGGCTGCTGTGGCGGCTGCTGTGGCGGCTGCGGCGGCTGTGGTTGTGGCAGCATGCCATCGAGCTTGCGCTGCAGAAAGGGGGCATCACTGGGTCTGTCAAAGTAGCATCTTTACAATGCCCCTGCAAATTGTGGTTTGCAGGGCAACGGCCCCCAAGAGTAGGTCTGAGAGCCCTCAACATCCTCAGTTTGGTGGATCTAGCGTCGAATAAATTTCTGGCGATGCCCACCAAATGTGTGATTTTCCTTTGGTTTCCCTCGAACACCAACCAAAAGAGGGTTCCCCGAAAAGACAAGCACAAATCAGAATGTGCCTTGCCCAGTCAAGTTTGATTGTTCAAGCCGGCGAGGCTTGCTTGCCTTTCGTGAGCGAAAGCAAGCGATATCCACCTGCACATTTAGTATTCCATTTGAGTGCCACGCCGTGCATGTGGCTGAGCCTCATTGCGATGGCACTGTCTCGTTGGCAAGCGGCAATTATTCGGGACGAACATCGGCTCTTGGCCCGGTTGCCGCTTGAGATGTGTGCGCATTGGCATGTCAAAAGGAATGCAAGATGTCTTCATTTGCCCAAAGCCAAACAAACAGGATGATGAATAACTTCTAGTTGAGTTTCTTCTTGTTTTCAAGGGGCATGTCAGCGACCCTGAACGGGTTCCAGCGAGTTCCAGCTTATACCAAAGGCCAATCATGCGTGTAGCATCCTAGAGAACTCATTTGCCAGAGCCTGTTCAACGTGACCGCCAAGCCTGCTGCCCGAGGATGTCACCCATGATGAACCCGATGATGGGCATGATGGGCGGCATGAACCCCATGATGGGCGGCATGAACCCGATGATGGGCGGCATGAACCCAATGATGGGCGGCATGAATCCTATGATGGGTATGCAGGGCCGGCATGATTTCTATACCCCTGCTGCATTTTGAGATTTTTGTAGGTCTTTCTGTGAGGGTTCAAGCGTGATGGAAGTGGACTCAAGGTTCTCGGGGTCACATGGAACCCAACTAAAAAGACATCCAAAGGTAGTTTCTTTCCTCTCAACAAAGGTTGTTTGGGTCCAGGGTCCTTCAGGAGATTCCTCTAAAGCCAGCTCCATTTTTTTTTGGGTGCTTCCAGAAAACAGCCATTGTTTTTGGCTTGGTTCACACACACACACACAGCGCGCCAGACCGCGCGTGCGCGGCCAGCGCGCGCGCACGCCCGCCCGCCCGCGCCGCCCGCCACGCCGCACGCAGCACGCAGGCAGCACGCAGCAGGCACACACACGCACGCGCAGCACGCAGCAACGCACGCGCGCACGCGCGCACGCAGCGCCCGCGCGCCCGCGCGCCACGCCCGCGCGCCCGCGCACCGCGCACGCGCACGCGCGCACGCGCGCGCGCGCGCGCGCACGCGCACCGCACCGCGCCGCACGCCCTGCGCACGCGCATACGCACGCACGCACACACACACGCACACGCACACACACACACGCACACACGCACACGCACACACGCACACGCGCACACGCACACGCGCACACGCATATACGCACGCGCACGCACACGCGCACGCACACGCGCACGCGCACGCGCATCACGCACGCACACGCGCACGCGCACGCGCACGCGCACGCGCACGCACATCACGCGCACGCGCACGCGCATCACGCGCACGCGCACGCGCACGCGCACGCACACGCGCACGCGCACGCACACGCACACGCACACGCGCACACGCGCACACGCGCACACGCGCACACGCGCACACGCGCGCACACGCACACACGCACACACGCACACGCACACACGCACACGCGCACACACGCACACGCGCACACACGCGCGCGCACGCGCACACACGCGCACACACGCGCACCCACACACACACACACACCCGCACACACACACACACACACATTTTATCCCGGAAGCCAATAGTTGGGCCTGGCAGGATGAACCCCATGGGCATGGCGATGGGAGCCATGGGCATGGCTGCCATGATGTCAGGCGCCGCATGTCGGTTGATCAATTTACTGGTGGCGTTCGTTGAATCCATGGCCACTTGTGGAGGTTCCACAAAAAGGGACATGGAGGAAACCCTGTCATGGGGGTCTTGCAACATCGGATGTTGGAGGAAAGCTCTGATGCGCCTCAAATGGGCCAATCTTTGAGAGGTGGGTCATGACCGCTAGCGTTTCCTTGAGGGTTGAACCTGCAGACGCCTCGGCAAAACGGGTAAAAGGCGCAGCATCCAAGCAAGGGCTAAACTGGTTGAACAAATTCCGCTGTAAATGCCGTCACGGTCGCGCTTCCAGAGGCAGCTCCTCTTAAGACACATGAGTTCGGTTCCTTCCGTCAACGTGACAAACATGTGTTCCGACAATGGCTCACCCTCAGGTGAATATATAGGGGAGCGATGTCCGTGACCCATATAGGTGTTTCTCAAAATTGGAGACGAGAGGGAAACGGTTCGGGGCCCACTATTTTCAGGTTCCCACCCCAATATGACAGTGGTTCCTTCATTTCCCTTTTATGGAACCTCCAAAAGTGGCGATTGTTTCAATGGAAACCGCCAGTAAATTAACCAACCGTAACCCACATGAAGAGTTTTACCTATGGCCTCTGTGAGTTTTGGTCTCGTTCGGGAGACCTGTCAGGCATGAAGAAGGACGACAGCGACGAGGCCGTTTGGCAGCTTCTCGTGGGGGATTTTTTGGAGGTGGGGCATGCGATTCCACACGCGGCGCGGTGTTCATTCCTACTGGCTAGCATGGAACCAGAACCCCCGTTTAGAGGCATGCCAAGTTCCTCTTTGTGCCCTAACTAGGCAGCACGTGGGCCAACCACAGATGAGGGTTGATTGCCCCGCTGCCAACTCATATTGCGGCGCATATGGGTGGGCACATGTGGTCGCACCCTTCAGTTTCAAATGAGTCGAACTGCTCTTGCCCCCTTTTGGCGGGTCCAGGGTCGTAGAAGCGCAGCCGGCATCGAAATCCAAAAACCAGAACTCTCGCAGCTCAACCCAGGCGACGTTGGAGTTCCTTCGTTTGGGCCACTGGTGGACACGGGGGCCCCGTCCACCCGAGTTCCCGTGGAAGCCGTGAGGAGGAGGAGGAAGAGCTGAAGGACCCCAAGGAGGTGGCCAAGGCCGATGGGGAAGCCCGTGTTTTGGAAGGAGCGGCAGTGAGTTTTTTTTGGGGGGTTATTATTATTATTATTATTATTAGGATTATTAGTATTATTATTATTAGGATTATTATTATGAGTATTATTAGATTGTTTTTCCCCACGTTCTTGTGGGGTTCTCACTCTTGCCTCTTACTGCTGGATTGCGTGGGAGGCCCGCACGCCGATGCTAATGCTAAGTTGCTCGTACACTTGTTGACCACAAACGAACAGCATTTCCGAATCATTGACATGAAATACCCACTATAAAACACATCAAGCAAAGGCCCCGCTTTGAAAAAACAGCTAGGCATGTGGGGGTATCCGGTCAATTAACTTGATGGGAAGCCGAAAGGAGGTTGTTTAAGCGAGCTGGTTTCTTTGAAGGGCGCCCCCCCCCCCCCTCCACAAAAGAGGTCGCTTCGTTGGCTTCCCACACGGGTCATCCTCACATGCGGACGGAGAAGGAAGCAAAGAGGCCCATGCAAACAACAGCAGTTAGCCCACGCTGTTCAAACATGCCCGGCCCACGGCAATGGGTCAAGACATGTTAGGGCAACCACTGAAGGCCAGCGTGGAGAAGATGCTGGCAGGGCTCAAGGGCCAGACTGAGCCGGGGAGCTCAGAGGTGAAGTGGGCTAGAGAGTTGATTCGCCTGAAAGAGGGGGGGTATTTTTTGGGAGATATGTTTTGAATACCGTTTTTCCCATCATGGAAGTGGACAGAGCAGTTCGGAGCGCGGGGGGGTATTTTTGATTACCGTCTTTCCCGGAAGTGGACGGAGGAGGTCTCGAAACTGGAGCTAGGGGTAGCCCAATGCAGCTGGGGCTGTGGCCAAGGTCCCAGGACGTGGCCAAGGAGTTGCTGGCCATCGACGAGGGGGCGGGGGGTTTGGCTGGGGCCATTGGGGAGCCGTGCCATGTTGCGACAAGATCGAGGCTACGGCAGCTTGGGGGCATAGAACAATTCGACCAACATGGGGCGCACCCGCACGACTTCACGACTTTATTTTGGCCAAGTTGCCAAACGGGGGGAACCCTAGGTGCTGGAGTGTAGGGGGTCTTCGCGGCAAATCTCCGACGCCTGGGTTCCTTTGCGGTTCGGCATATCGAGTTCAACAGCGTGAAGTACCCCAGTTCCAATCATGGAAATGGACAGGGGGGCTTTTTCAAAAGGGAAGTAGTCATTCAAGATCCGTTTGTCAGCTTCCAAGATTGATGGAGGCTAAGTTCAAATATTACCCGTTCAACGGGGTACCGGTGTCCTGGGCCTGCGCTCCGGGAAACCCACGGCGCAGGCCCACGTCACCGTGCAGTACACGCACCCCCAGCTGGGCACGGGGACCCAGGAAGGATGTGGGTCCAAGGTGGTTTAAGAGCAAAAAGCAGGCAGCCCGGAGAGGCACCTGGCACCTTTGTTTTGGTTTTTGGGTCCCCGCAAAAATTTGGGGACCCCCGGAAGAGTCTGAGTGCACTGGGCAACTGCATGAAGCCTGAGGACGTGGGTGCCTTTTCCAGACGATTCCCCAAGCTTGTGTCTTGAACAGCAAGGACGCATGGACCAAAAGCAAGCTTCAGGAGACCGCGCATGTGCACGGGGGCTGGGTTGATCCCCGGTTGCCTTGGCTGAAGAGTGGCTTGCACCAGCCGATTCCCCCACTGCTTACCAACGAAAGCGGGCGGCGCCCCATCCGCCAGGCAAGATCACCTACGAGGGCCGGCTCCAGGAGAAGTACATGGGCTCCCACACCAGCCAGCCGGGCCCCCAGCTAATTTCTGGGGCCTCCCTGGGGGCCAGGGGAGGGCACGGGCTGCTGCTTTTTTAATTCCGAGGGGTTTTAGGGCCTGGTTTCGGAAAAATGGGTTCTGGTCCATTTTCTGGTGCTAGGGCTGAAGAAACCTGGAAATTACCAGGTGTCCTGCAGCACTGCACAAGCTTCATTCTTATGCTTGTGCTGGTCAGCGATCACCTGGTTGTTGGAGCCTGAGCATTGTTATCCTCCAGTCCACGAACATGGAAGCCCGTCACAGGGCCCCTTGATAGGAAAAGGATGTTCCAGGACCCGCCCCCCAACACGGTGGACGGATTGCTATTGTTTTGTTGGGGCTGCTGAATGGCTCGAAGCGAGGTCCTACATCCAGCTCTCCCCATGCAGAAGGTACAGTGGTGGGGAGCTGCAAGAGGAGGAGGCGGAGCGAAGCTTGGAGATTGTTTTCTGATTTCCATCGTTTTATCAAAGGCTGAAAGTATGCATCCATATATGAAGCGAAGCTCTCCATATATGAACCCCTGGTATGAACCCACTAAGCGTTAGTTGTTGCGATATGGCCACCCGAAGGGTCCAAAATGGCCATGGGTTCACATGGGTCTGTACAGTCAGCCTTTGAATTTGGGTATCGGAATTCCATGGTGCCGGAGCAAATGGTGCTTTTTTTTTGCATCTGAGGTCGGGGAAGAAAGAGGGTTTCTGCTATCCCCAAGTTGCCTCTAATGGAAGTTCGGATGAACATATCATACACGAACGTGTGGAACCCATATGAAGTGGGAAGCGGTTTGGGGATGGTGGCAACCCTCCAAGATCGCTCGAGTTCGCGCCAGGTCAATCCACACAGCAAACTGTTTGCCAGCAACTGCCCCATGAAACATGGGGTGTGAGAAAGCTTTACTGCGCCGCCATATTTGGCTGAGAAGGGGTAGGTGGCAGGCCGCAGTGGTCGCGGGTCGCCCGATATTGGGAGTATGTTGAGGATACCCAATTGTGGCTGGTTCAAAGGGGAGCTGCGGGGGAAGCCATCAATTTTGGGGTTCCACCAGGCAAATCGGACGTTGGCCATGACCAGCACGAAGCACCATGGCACTGGCAGAAGGCAAGACCAACATTCGGGCAACCAACACCCACCCACAAAAACCACAAGACAGCCCCCCCCCCAAATATATATATATATATATATATATATATACACACATAAATGCATAAATAACAACGCAACAAATCAACAAAAAGAGAAGCTAGGCGCCTTCGGCGGGTGGTTTCTTCCGCCCGCCGTTCGGCGGTTTCAAGCGCGCCAATGGCGCGGCGCTGCACGGCCACGGATGAGATGCACCTGCCGCGGCTGCTGCGGCGAGGCGGGCCTCCGGGGGGGGGGCCGAGGGCCAAACACTCATTTGCATGACCTAAACTGGACAACTAGATGGGTTTCCCTGGTAAATGGATGGCACAAAACCCGTCTAAATCAGTGGTGCTCCGTCTATTTCTAGCCAGCACGAACCTGAAAAGGGCACCGTGCTTCCAATTTAATCTAATGTTTGCCTGCCAGCATGTTGTCCCTGGCGGTGTTTGTCTGAGGGACTTGGGGTTGAGAGGTTGCTTCTGATCATGGCCTGAGATTCGGGCTGCCGTGCAGGTAGCACAGCCAGCAGCAACGCGGGCAGCAGGCGCTTGCACACATGCTGACCGCTTGTCTCGTGTGGGGCCGGGCATCGGCTAGCGCCTGAGGACGGGTAGCAAGAGCACAAACTCAGCAGGCGCGTTTGGGCGGCTTTGGTGGGCCGAACAGTTCCTTGGATGACCAGCCCGTCAATCAAAGTATCATGAAGCAGAGCTAAAGTTGTCCTGACTAACTACCCTTTCTATGCAATTCTGGGCTGACAAAATCAGCTCAGGCCAAAATCCTGGCTTTCTCTTTTTTGCCACCAATCACCACGCTAATCTGGATTTTGGAGGTTTTTCAGGAGGCCGGTGCTGCTCAATTGTTTGCTCTTTTTAAGGTTGTGGGATCGATTGCCGGCTGTTTCCGTCCACAATCAGTGGCCGTTGCTTGCTTGTGTGCGTGCTTGCTTCCTTGCTTTCGTTCCCGCCCCACTCAAGTTTAGAAAGTCCTCCAAGCAACCAGGACTTATCCCGCATCCCACTTGAGGGACTTGCCAACAGGGCTTGCTGCCCGCTCCAGCTATCCAAGTGCCTGAGGCATGCGTTCCTTGCATGGTTTGTAGTGCTGACCCCATATTAGTCAGCCCCAGTCATTTGGGAATAGGGGGGTGTTCCCCTCCAAAAGTGATTCCCCACAAAACCCAGCAATGGACACCCCCCCTATTACCAAACTGGGGTTGCTTAGTTGTTTGTCTCTCTCCGCCTTACTTATATGGATTTATTTAGGGGTGAGGGGGGGGGGGGTTGGAGTGCTATATATATATATAATCCCTCTTAGAGGGCGAGATGACCATCATGGGCCTTAACGATCTTATAAGAGTTTGTTTGTTACATAACACACACACACATACAAAATATATACATATATATATATATATATATGTAGATATATTGGGGCCTGCCTGGCGCGAGACTTCATGGCGGTGGCTCCGTCGCCCAGCGCGTCGGTCAAGAGTGCGATCCTGGCAGGCTGGTGCGCTGCGTTGCGGGGTTCGGCGGACCCGCAACCACTTCCATGAAGCTCCCAAATACTTGGGGACCCCTTTCCGAAGTTGACCTGTGACCTATTGTTGACAAAATGGTGCTTGCCCACTGAAGGAGAACGCGATTCTCTCGGAGGTTCCTTTGTTCTCCATTTTTGCTTGCTTGTGACTTTGTCCCCCCCCACAAAAACAGCATGGACCCCCCAAACAACCACTGTTTGTGGGACCTCGCATGTTGTGGAATAAGGGGATCTCCCCCGGGATGATCTTTGTAGGTTGGAAATTTAGGGACAGGTCTCAGTTTTTCTGACGCTAAGGTCACCCTAAACCTAGGCTGGTTTGCTCAAAAGGTGGCCCCTGACATAATCAGAAGCGCGGAAAGACGTCATTTCTACAGTTGTCTTCCAGGCCTCATTCAGGCTCCATGTTTGTTTCTGGGGTAAGTCTACCTGTTGGTGCTTTCCGAGCCTCAACTGAGGCTTAGTCTGCGGTAGATTCCCCAAACGAGAGACAGGAAGGTTCCAGAGAGTTAGACAAGGCAGCAGGGTTGAACACAAACAGGTTAGGGCTAAAACTGCAGAAGCCAATGCTCTGAGTGGCCCATGAAGCAAAAGCAAGTTTTACGAGTTCATCTACATCCACTCATGGCAGCCTCTTAAAAGGAAAGCAGGGGCCTTGTTGTCTTGCTCCGGGAAGGCTCCGCGCCGTGCAATTCAAATCGAAATGAGCAGGAGTCTCTGCAGGAACATGGCACGCCCACCAACACCCATGTTGGATTTCCACTTCCTATAAGACTTTCCCGTGCCGGATGTTCATCTCCCGCAAGAATTTCCCATGTTGGATCTCCATTTCCTGCGAGAACTTCCCCGTGCCCCAAACGGAGACGGGGGCCACGTGCCAAAAATCCTCCCCCCGCGCCGGTCCGGGGCTCCGCTTCGCTCTGCGCCAGAAGCTCCGGGCTCGGTGTCTCGGAGCCTCCGGCGCTTCAGCACGCGAGGCGCGCGGGTTCGGGGAGCCGACTGAGGAACTCGCGTGGCTGTTGTTGGGGAACCTGCCGCGGCCCCGGGGTTTTGGTTGGAAGACTTACCCATGGTTGTTGTTGGGAAACGGTTTTTGAAGCATTTTTGCTGATGGTGGTTTAGCGGTTGGAATCCAAATCCACTTAGCTGCTACAATTTAGATTTTTGCTCCCCAAACCCAACGTCAACCAAGCTCAGGGCATGGCGCCTGGAAGTCTGGAAGCCACACGGAAAGTTGGAACGCACCCGTTCACTTGGTGCTTGCCGGCCTCTCTTTTTTTGGGGGGGGAGGGGGTTTGCGGGTTCGCAGGGAAGTGATAAGACTTGTCCATCCGAGGCTGCATTGCTTGCAAGTCGTTTGCGTGGGGAGTGTGTTCGCGATGTGTCGAGGGCTCATGATACCATTTTTTCATGGTCTCGAGGTTTTGAGCGAGCGGTAGATGCAATTTTGGGTGTCAAGCATCACTTGTTTGCTCTCAATTGGTGAATTTGCGCGGATCAAAGCTTCCCCATATTCCTCTCAGTGTTTAACAGTGTTGCTTTTTGGTAATGTTAATTGGAATTCACAGGTCGGGCGATGTTTGCAGGTTGGACATATCGCGGGAACCTTGAATGTGCAGCTAATGTGCAGGACTGAACAGTTACACCTTCCTGCCACTATGGTCATGACTTGACCACGAGTCGCCAGAACTAGGTGCGGCTTTCCACCATTGAAATTCTTCACCATGGCTTGGAGTAGACCATTTGACACCAGTTTTTGCCTGTCACTCAAGTAACCACCCCCAGGCTCCTTCAACATTTCAATCCGTCCCCATGGTTTTGGACTTTGATGCCGCATCTTGCTCCCCCCCTGCACCTTTTTGTGTCTCATTTGCTTCCACCCCGGATTAACGGCGCAGCGCCTGGCTCAGGCCTCTGCGCGGCGCGGGACAAGGGCTGCGAGCTCCCGAGCTTCGAGTCGGAGCTGCCGAGCTTTGAGGAGCTGGAGCGGGACATGCAGGGCTGGAATGGGCCCTGGAAGAAGAAGAAGGCGAGGTCCGGGCGGGGGGGAGAGGGAGGAGGGAGGGAGGTGGGGGGAGAGGGAGGGAGAGAGGGGGAAGATGGGCAGGCGTGTGGATATGATTAGGGGGGGGGGGGTCGGGGAGGGAGAGGGGAGGAGGGGGAGGAAGATGGGCAGGCGTGTGTGTGTGTGTGTGTGTGGATGATAAAAGTCCTGAGTGTTCTCAAGAAAGAGAACACTCAGGACTCAATCAATACATACACAAAGAAGCATTGATGGATAGATAAGTATGTAAACTGATGAATGGACCAATGGTTCGCGTGCAAGGACATACACAGATACATGGATGATTTGGCTCACATTTCAAAAGGTGAACACATACATTGCAACGCATACATTGACAACACTAGACATAACACGTTGTATGTATACACATGCGCGCGCGTATGTTTGTTTGTCTTTCTGTCTGTCAGGAAGTGGTTTTCGAATTTGGAGCTGCAACGCAGCCAGCGAAATTGTCCAGGACGATGATCAAGGGACATCGCGCGGCTATCGGGGGGGGGGGGGGTAAGTGTAAGAAACGGGTTCCAGTTTGCATCACACGGTCGGGTCTCAACACTTTTAAGATAGGTCCGATTTGTGGAACCATGTAGGGTCTCAACACTTATTGGATAGAACCCATTTGTGGAGCCAGTTTCTTCAACTTAAGCCTTTTTTTTGCGAACATCTGCAGCTACCGAGCTCCACGTATGCACCC